ATGCTGTGGCCGCCGTGGGAGTCGGTAGAGCGACGGCCATCGGAACCGGTGGCCGCGTGGGCGCTGCGGCCGGAGTTGGAGGTGCGGGTCTTGGACAACGAGGCGCGGCTCCTGCGCTCTTCCTCTTCCTCCTCCTCTACTTCCTGGATGCGCCGTTCGTCGTTCTCGCGGTTCGCGAGGCGGACAACTTCGTCAACGTGGCGGCCGCGGCCTTCAAAGACATCACCCATGACATCCATGGAGGAGACGTCGCGCATGCCGAGTGAGAAGTCGACGTGTTTGCGGGAGATGGATTCGCCACGAGCGCGGGCGGCAGCGGTGTTCATCCCTTTGCGGAGGATCGAGGGGTGGCGATTGGCGGTGCCGGTGCCTGGCTGGTCGTGGTACTCCTTTTCGCTGAGTGGCGTAGCTGGGGGCCGACCATCGCTGGTGCCGGGTGGGGGAGCGAATTGCTGGTTTTGGCCGTTGTAGCGAACGTGAACGGGGAAGTCGACGCTCGCACCCTGGAGGTTCATGCGTGGGCCCTCGATGCCGATCTCCTGCAGGGCGGTCATGAGCATGCAGATAAACTTGTTGCGGCGTTGCAGACGCAGGCCTTCATTCTGCCAGTTGGATTTGTAGAAAAAGACGACGTTGAGAGTCACCGAGAAGTTTTCGGTGACCTGGCGCATTTCGGTGAGGATGTTGGTCTGGAACTCGCGCTTTTCACTGCGGACAAACTCCAGCAGGCGTTGGCGCAGCGCGTCGATCTGTTCGAGCGTCGTGCCGTATTTGATCACGATGGGGATGGCTTCGGCGAGAGCGCCTGAGCGACGTTGGTTGAGGATGAAGAGAGTATTGAGGTAACTGTTAGGTGCCTGGACGACGTGGCCTTGCATCTTCTTGAACTCGGTATACAGGAGGGAGATCTGCTTGACAAAGTAGTCATCACCAAGGCCAGCATCTCCGGCGTTACCGTAGATGGTGACACGGTCTCCCACGTCGAAGGGGTGCTTGACGAAAACGAAAACGACTGATTGGAGGAACTCCTGTGCAGTGGCAGAGAACAGCCAGGACAATGCAAGGACACTCGAGCCTGCAGAGGTAAGTACACCAGCGGCCGATGTCGAAATCAGCGACAAGAAGACAATGAGTGCGATGACAATGACGAAGAACTCCATCACATTGTCAAGTCTCGATACGACGGAATCGAGATCTTTCAAAGATGCAGTGATCGATTTACGCTCCCGTCCAATCTCCACACAGACTGCCTCCAGCTCTTCCATCGAGATATCGCCATTCATATCCTTGTCGAACATGGTGAATGCAGCCTCGGCTTCCTCGTTGTTGTCGAATGCCTCTTTCAAATCCCCGGAAAACACGGTTTCAAAACCATCTCGTACAAAGGTTCGGTAGAGCCGTCTTGCCAGAGCCTGACAGCCGGTAGTCGTGCGCAGCAGGGTCAAAACAACCTGGTAGGGGTGGCTGCTGCTCGTAGCCTTGCGGCCGGTGAAATCAGCGGCGACTGCACCCGCCACATCCGTGACTCTGTTCAGTGCGCCCTTGGCGATACGCTGTGCCTTTCCGGCATATTGCATGGGAACGCGCAACGGCGTCTTGGTGCCGCTGCCACTCTGATCATTCTTCTCCTCGAATTCGTCGTCATCAGCCTCGATCTTTGCTTTTGAAAAGGCATACAGCTTGGTGAGACTGCCAATCTGGAACTTGTTGATTTCAATGCGATCAGCATAGGTACGCAAGTGGAAGCTGATGGCGATGAGCTGGATGATGATCTTTTCGATAAGGTTCAAAATGGTCCAGACGAAAATGGAGATGATGATCTTGTTGACAGAGTTTTCCCAGCTGCGGGTGGCGGAATTTCCATCAACGTGGTGATTCTTCATGGTGGGCAAGAACGAGATTTCCACGCCCAACCACCAGAAGAAGAGGGTCGCATGAAGCTCCAACTGCTTAGCCAAGTCACGCCATTTTTTCGCATTGTTGGTGAAGATACTCGCAAGCAACGCCACAGGGATGGGAATGAATTTAGCCACAATCTAGATCGAGTTAATGGTCTTTCAAGGAAAAGATTTGAATAGAATAGATACGTACTCTGCCGGCCCAGAGTGTCAACCAGACAATCTCCAGCCAGACGGAGAACCAAAGCAGAGAGACACCTCCAACATTGGCATCAGGAAAGGCCAAAGCCCCAACAAGCAAGGGAATGAGAAGGATCACAACAAGCGGGACGATATAGGTGATATAGCGAATGATGAAGCTCGACTCATGAACCTTCTTAATGAACTTGGAAATCTTTGTATTTGGATTTTCAGGCGGGTTGTAGACGGCGGCCTTCTCGTGCAGTGGATTTGTGGCTTCATCAAATTCGTCGACATTGCGCGAGCGATGCGAACGAATTCGCGAGATGGACTCCGCTTTGCTTCCCTTTTCCATCTCCTCATGGGTCGAACGAGATGCGACACGCTCCGCCTCGAGCAAAGCCAGGTCATCCTCTAGACGTAGGGATCGTTCTCGCGCGGCCGAAGGTGAGCGCAAGGGCAATCTCTGGGTGTCATCATAGGAGGTGTCAACCCTGAGGTGATTGTGGTTACTGACGGCAGAGCCATCATGGACATAGGTGCCATCATCGGACGCGGAGACGTCAACATCATCCAACCTCTCTTTTCTCTTTTCGTCTATATATCTAGGAGCAGGGTGCTCCTCGACGGGGGTGGACATACTAGCACCAGGCTAGATATAGATACTCGGGAGAACTTAAAAACCAATGGATTAAGCTGAAAACAAGGTTAGAACCTTGAATTATAGAGCGAAAGCAGTAGTAGATGGCCAGCGATCAATGAGGGGCCATATAAATAAGAGATAGCGGATTCTTAAGAGCAGAAAGGAGATTGATGGTGACCAACTAAGAGCAACGGGGAAGCCAAAGGGCGCAGTCACTTGAGAGACGGGGAATTAATTCAAGCAAGTTGTATGCAGGTAAGATTGATGGTGGAAAATAACTCTTCAAAAGAAATGAGTATATTTGAAAGTGCAGAGAGAGATAAGATAAGATGAGATGATATGATATGGCCTGCCAAAAGAACGACAACCGACAAGAAAGAGAGCGGATCACAGGATAAGGATAGGAGAGGGGAGGTTATTCGAGTGGCCGACCAGCCAGCATCATATGTAGAGAAGAAAGAGAGCGAGAGAAGGAGCTTTTAGTCTACTTGACAAGCGACGGAATTGAGGAGAAACGGCGATCGGACGGGAGGACCCAGAGGAGACCAGCTCGAGTAAGAGATTTTCAAGTCCAGGCCTTTTCTCGGTTGATTAAAGGTCGGTAGGTTGCCTCCGCAAGAATGATCTGATTCGATACGTGAAGAGATCTGAGTGTTCAGTCTCGATATCAGACCGTGGTGGGAGTTATTTTGGGTGAGTGGTCCCTAGACCCATAAAAGATATTGATTCATGGACCCATAGAGCATGGCGATGGATCTTAGGCGACTCTTCGCCGCATTAGGGTACAATAATCGTAAACTCAGAATATATCAATCTCCTTCGTCCTAGGTCATTTTTTCCTCATCTTACACAGTCAGTGAGTGGACTGCCTCTATATTCTCTCATAAATTAATATTATTGCAGTGTCAGCTGTGCAATTTCTCTAAGTATCAACGTCATGTAAGGGCCCTTTGGTAATCCATGCAAAGAAGACGTGGCCACTGCCAAGAAACGCCATCGACGCCACCTCAGGCACTTGTGGTCTCCCATTCGAGACACTCGGTGGGGCTGTTGGGGAGACTTCTTTGGAGTTTGGAGAGGTGGGAGATGACGATGCCAGGCCCAGTTTTCATAACGAATCATCGTCAATAGGGAATCTCTTAGGATTCTAGCATGAAGCTCAGATGTTTTAGTTTGCAGAGTACCTTATGAGAACCTATATCTTCAGTGACAATAACTAAATGGATATACCTACAGGAGGTTGCTCATCAGCTACGGAGGACTCCCTCCGTACGTAAGTACAAGCGGATGCTCCACTCCCAAGGAAAGCCACAAAAAAGTTTGTTTGAATGCAGGGCTACCGGTTTCAAGAGTATTATTACTATGGGCTCTTAAGACCCTCACAGCATGGAGGGTCTTTAATATCTAAATATATAGTTGGACAGCTATTCCAGATATTTACTAGCCTACTTACCGAAGCACTGTCTAGACAATATGTATTATAGCAATAGTTCTTTTGCTTCAGGATAAACCTAGTGAATTGCAACGAATGAGCAGGCCCAATCTCTAATTCCCGGCAGCCTTTGACATCATTTGCATTGACGTGTCTCACCCCGCCTTCCGAAGATCTACAGACCCCTATCTCCTAAGTGCTTTTCGATCTTGGTGAATCCGCCGTTCAGTACTATGCTGTAACCAGCTAAGGTAGTTGACTCGAATTGTTTGGTTGTTGTTATTGTACGGAGAAGTTGATCACATGTTGGACAGATGTCTCTCAATACACCTTGTTTGGAAGAACTGATAATGCGATAAACCTGACCTATGCACTCCGTAGTCCATACGACATCCGCTTTGAATCGGCGACTATCCTGTATCCTGAGAAGGCAGTGATGCGCTCCCCAATCTGGGGTGTCGGGAAAATTCCCTACGGAACCAAGAACTACCCAGAAGGCCGTTTAGCCATAGACAGCACATAAGTGAGAAATGCGATGACCTCCTTCTGCATACCTTGTCGAAGTCCAGATATGCTTTCATAAGTCTTGGTCTGTGCTTATATACTGAGGCCCCGGGAGCTCCTCAATCGGCAGGACGCGTAATAAATATCCTACAGATCCCCACATTCCATTGGGAAAGCGGCACGTGGTAAGAAGGTAGGTAAAATGTTCAGACAAGCCATGACAAACTCTACAAGTTCAGAGGTTGCCTGATGCATCTATGAGGTGCCTCTTATGAGGCGTTTGTAACGCAATAAACAAACAAAGCTCTAGGCTTAGTAGGATCCGCGCGCAAACCACTTTACAGCAAAGACAAGCGCTGATTGGCTACTCGTGGTGTTGTTGATTGTTGACGGTCTCCACCTGCAACGGGTAGGCGCAAACCATCAGTGCACCTTCCTGAACTATCTACCGACCGCCTTCCAGACTGTCTTCCTTCTCTCTCTCGTTCTTCACGTCCTCTTCATCAATACTCTGCTATCTTCTTTTCGCCAGATTCAGTCTGTTGTCTCAAAACCGGCTATCAGGAGTCGTCTTCTCTTCTCCTTTGAAGTCTGCGTTGAATCATCACCATGCGAGGCGAGGTATGCCCCCTTCTCCCCCGCACGTTCGCCCCTCCTGAAGCATAACTTGGGATGGCCTGATCCCTGTCAACGTCTAAAATATCGACCACGTGCTTCTTTATTACATGGAGATTCTGACGTATCTTGTCGCGGTATCCTAGGTTTGCCATATCCATATTGGCCAGGCTGGTACTCAGCTTGGTAACAGTGCCTGGGAACTGTGAGGACTCACCGCTTTTTGTTCTGCTGACACTATCGCTTATGATGGTCTTTGGGTGCAATTGCTTGGGCTAATAGACTTGCTTGTCATGCAGGTACCTTCTAGAGCATGGTCTCAAGGCTGACGGGCGTCTCGATCCCGAGCTGCCTGAATCGCACAACAACGGAGGCTCTTTTGAAACCTTCTTCACCGAGACGAACAGCGGCAAATACGTACCTCGCTCTATCTTCGTTGATCTTGATCCATCGGTGCGCCACAACTCAGATCTGAATCCAGGATCGGATGGAAGATGAGCATCTACGCTGACTATAGTAGCCTATTGACGAGATCCGCACTGGCACTTACCGCCAGCTCTTCCACCCCGAACTCTTGATCAGCGGAAAGGAAGATGCCGCCAACAACTGTGAGCCGAAGGTTGTGTTCGCAAGGAGAGTAAGGGCTAATACATGGCAGATGCTCGCGGTCATTATACCGTTGGCAAGGAACTCGTGGATAGCGTCGTTGATCGAGTTCGTCGCGTTGCCGGTAGGCTCCATCGCACGCCGCTAACCGGACTGACTTTCTCACTGATTTTGAACAGACAACTGCAACTCGTTGCAGGGGTTCTTGATCTTCCACTCCTTTGGCGGTGGTACCGGGTCTGGCTTTGGTGCACTGCTCCTGGAGCGTCTTTCGGCCGAATATGGCAAGAAATCCAAGCTGGAGTTCTCCATCTACCCCTCCCCCCGCGTGTCGACTGCCGTCGTTGAACCCTACAATGCCGTCTTGTCCACTCACAGCACTATTGAGAACTCGGACTGCACCTTTTTGGTTGACAACGAAGCTGTCTACGATATCTGCCGTCGCAACTTGGACATTCCCCGCCCTGGCTATGAGCACCTGAACCGTCTGATCGCCCAGGTAGTCAGCTCTATCACCTCGAGTCTCCGATTCGATGGCGCTCTCAATGTCGATTTGACTGAGTTCCAGACAAATCTGGTGCCATTCCCTCGTATTCACTATCCCCTGATCTCTTATGCGCCTGTAGTTTCGAGCAACCGCAGTTCCCATGAGAGCTTCAAGGTGCAGGATCTTACCTTCCAGTGTATGTGCATTGTCGTTTTCTTCTCCTCGCTGGCAAATTTGGGACAAATCACCATAACTGACTTTTGCTGCAGGCTTTGAGCCCAACAACCAGATGGTCGTGTGCGATCCTCGTAACGGCAAGTACATGGCCGTTGCCCTTCTGTACCGTGGTGATGTCGTTCCTCGCGACTGCACTCAAGCTGTTGCCGCCCTCAAGGCAAAGGCATCCTTCAACCTGGTCGAATGGTGCCCCACCGGCTTCAAGCTGGGTATCAACTATCAGAAGCCAGTGCGTGTTCCTGGCAGCGAGCTGGCCCCGTCGACCGCTCCGTCAGCATGCTGTCCAACACCACTTCTATTGCCGAGGCGTGGGGTCGTCTCGATCACAAGTTCGACCTCATGTACTCGAAGCGTGCCTTTGTGCATTGGTATGTGGGTGAAGGTATGGAGGAGGGCGAGTTCTCCGAAGCTCGTGAGGATCTGGCCGCATTGGAGAAGGACTATGAGGAGGTCGCCAGCGATGGTATGGAGCCAGAGGAAGAAGGGGTCGAGTACTAAATCGCCCTTTCTTGCTTTGTCCGCTCGCCATCTTCCGATGAATCCGCTTCCTGTGTCTCTGTTTTTCCTGCCAGGCTCTGACTGTATTCCATCCTTCCGCTTGCGACAACCCCTCTTGTTAATGCTTTTCCTAGCGTTGATCTTCAGTTTTTAAACTTTCCTGTAAAAAAGAAACAGGCAGTTATCGCGAAGTATTAGAAATAATCCAGTATGCCACTGTTTGTCTATGTTCGTGAGGACGGTACAGGCTCAAACAAGGACTATTGTACAAGTAGATAATATTACAGATGGGTTGTTTCATCAAGTCATTCAGCGACGCGGAAGTCGCGGAGGAGTTTTAAAGATCGCTCGTAAGTCCACATGGTGATGGCACTTGCTGGTGCGGCCTTGATCAAACTCACCGTCAGTCCCCGGTAGAGGCCCCGGACTCCCTGGGTACGCACTATCATAGCGATGGTGCTAAATACGCCGCGGTATTCGGGGATATTGCGATGCACATACAGTGTGCGGGTTGGGCCCTGGACCTGGAGTCGCTTTCGCACGAGGTCAAGCGGAAACACCCCGGTCTTGGCCAGAACACTGGCAATGACTCCTGCAGCGGCATCACCGGACCCGAACGGCATGTTCTCCAGCCCGGACAGCACCGGCCTCAACGACTCATACGTCGCGAAAAACAGCCCCATGTACGGGACGATCTGGCCAATAGCCGCACTGCATCCCCGGAAGAACCCCGCCGGCCCTTCCTTCCGCGCAATGTCCTGCACCGACGCCAGCAGCGAGGTATAGATGCGCTCGGTGCCCTGGGCCGCGAAGCGCGTTCGCAGCAGATCGAGCGGGTACGTCGACGCCGTAGCTAGGCCGCCGGCTACAGCGCCTGAGACGAAGGATTCCAGCGCGGGTGGGAGACGGTGCGGATCGAGTTGTGCGAGGACTTGGGTTGTGGTGCGGTAGGCTGTGAACTGCAGGGCGCCGTAGCAGACGTACATGAGTTCGGCAGGGATGTTGCCTTTCCAGAGGCCCTGTTGCCAGGATCCATTAGCTTTTTTTTTTTTTTTTTTTTTTTTTTTCCCTTTCTTGATGGTTGGGCGGGGAATAAGGAAAGCGCACTGTTATCCCCTCTTGTTTGAAGATCGCCCTCATGGTGGAGAGGGTCCCCTTGTATATTGGACCGACTACATCGCGGTGGGAGGCCGGGTCGGAGAGGGAGTGAATCTGTAGTTGGAGGCGGATCTTGACGACGTCGAGAGGGGCGACGCAGAATCTGTTTTAGGAAGGGTGGTGGATGAGTTGCTGCGATTTCAATTCAGAACGGTAGAGCGGATGTTGGACTCACCGCGAGACCAGCCCGGCGATTCCACCTGAGAGAACGACTTGGCGTCGCGTGCCCTTTTCTCATGTTAGTATTTGGATTGACGGCCCAAGGGGGTCGATGCTAAACGACTGCAGGACTTTAGTGCCAGACGTACCTCATCCTTGAGGTGTTCGCCCCCGGCCGACATGCATGTGATATGTGAAGCAAAGGGCTTGGACTAGGCTGGGCTGTCGGTGTCGGGAGTGGTCGGAGATCGTCAGCGCAAACTTGGTGACCAGGACCTTTCATCAGATGGGATGGATGATCCTAACGGCGATTTTGTAGTGTTGCAGCAATTGATAAAAGGATTTATGGGATGGAATTAGGCTTGCACGTCGCCGATAAGCTGTGGATAAATCAGGTTCTGGGGGATGGAGCAGGATGGTTCTTGTTGGGTAAACAATACGTAAAGGGAACGCTACGTATGGGTCATCTCCGTTCTGCTGCTATGCTACAGTTGCGACCTTTTCTCAGCGATACTGTCTGGAATTCTGGAATGCTTTGATTGTCAAGATAGGCATTCTTACTCTATGCCTCATGCTGGGTATAATTATACCACCAATGGCAGGACTTTCTATCGTGACGTATGCAGTAGTCACTGACACAGCTGACGGACGTTGGCGGGCAGGTTTGAGGTATTGACCATGGATAACATTATGCAATCAATCTCGGCCTCAGGAGGAGATTCTCGCATTAGGTATTGCATCAATGTCATCCTGCCTGCTCCTTCAGGACATCCAGAGGTGACGTACCAAGCGAGCAGCGGCATCGCCATCTCTCTGAGAGGAATTCAGTTGGTCTGCTAAGGCGGCATTCACACTAATCCAGATACGGTCTGTAACCTCGGCGTGGAAACTAGACACACCCGACTCCGTTGACGGATTGCATGACACTACTCTGTAAACATCGACATCCCTCCCGTTCCTGCAGACATTGTTCAGCATTGCGGGCCATCGAAGCACCGCTGACACACCATGAGCCGGATTGTAAGACCTCTCGCCCGGCTACCATGGCGGAGTATCCCTCCACGCCCATTCCTCGCCCGACGGAGCTATTTACCCCCATCTACGGAACAGGCACAGGGCTCAAGACAGACTACCTTGACCTGAACAGAGTGATCTCAAAACATGGTTATAATGACTATGCTCAAGAATATTTGGGAAAGCCCGCCCCGGAAGGGATCAGGCTACTAAAAGCCAAACTGGATGTCATGATTGACGGAGAGGCCCGCGGCTTCAGGTACATGCTCCTACGCGATGCCTGTAAATGCAACCTCTGCGTAGACGAGCATTCGAAACAGCGCAAGTTCCGCACTGCGGACATCTCTCCGGTAATTGTCCCTCGGGACGTTCAATGGGATGGCAAGAAGCTGCGGATAAAGTGGTCGACTGATATCGAGGGATGGGGCCCGGACCATGTGTCCCACTATGATGTGGCAATGTTTAAAGACCACAGGGCCAACCCTCCCAGATCGGATACGGGCACGATGAGGCGTCGATTTCTCTGGGACAAGAAGTCCATGAAAGAGAGTCAGTACTGGGTCTCGTACGAGGATTACATGAATGACGAAACAGCATTCGTCAAGTCTATGCGCCATCTAGCTCTGATGGGCATCATCTTCGTTAAGGATATCCCCGATTCGCGGGAGATGGTTGAGAAGATTGCAACCAAAATGGGGCCCCTGCGGAACACCTTCTACGGACCGACATGGGATGTCCGCAGCGTCCCCGAGGCGAAGAACGTCGCCTACACCAACGTCTCCCTCGGTTTCCACATGGATCTCATGTACATGAACGAGCCCCGGGCTTCCAGCTGCTGCATTGCCTCGAGAACTCATGCGACGGGGCGAGTCCCTGTTCGTGGACAGCTTCCGAGTCGCGGATCTAGTGCGTTGGAGACAACCAGAACGATTCGAAGACCTGACCAAGCTGCACCTGAACTACGAATACAACCACAAGGAACACATCTACAACAACAGCTGGCCTGTATTGGAGACGGAAGACGGCGACCCGAAAAGCCGAATCGTTCACGTCAACTACTCGCCCCCTTTCCAAGCGCCCATTATCTCGGACGAGCACATCCACAAGCACTGGTCTGAGTACAGGCGAGCTCTCGTGGCTTTTGCGAGTGAAATCGAACGCCCTTACAACGTCTTCCAGCTGAAGTTGAACCCGGGCGAGTGTGTCATCTTCGAAAATCGTCGAGTCCTCCACGCCCGTAACCAGTTCAACACCGAACAGGGTAACCGGTGGCTGGCCGGCGCCTACGTCGACGAGGACGCCGTCCTCTCCACCTTCAGAAAGTGTCGTAACGCCCAGTACCATACTTGGCACTGGACCAGGGTTCTGGGGCCCAGAAAAGCGCCCAGGGCGGCCGGAGAGGGTGAAGCTACCGCCGAGGATCACGGAACAGAGTAAAGCAGAATTTTTCTTGGTATTGCGGACGCAAATTTAGCTTAGCGATGTGGTTTTCAACAAGGAGCATCCACCTTGAACTTGTGAATTCACTGCTATAGAAGCATAAGAGCTCTGTGTACTGTGGCGGGTTATCAGACAATATTCATCCTTCCGATACCTGCCATGCTCAATTCCGCGGCGCATACATGGTCGAGGTAAAGCATATAACTGTACACGTGTAGTTGTATTTCAACACGAAAAAGGATTATATTCATCATTGCTAAATCTCAAGTCTAACGAAGAGGGAATACATGGGAGTATAAATGGGTTTCAAGGGAAGTTTGCATCATGTACCAAGGGGCACCCGTCATATCTTCAAGCGGTAGCAGGAGCCTTGTTAACGGAGAACTGGCTCAGGAAATCAGGGTCGTTGTTGATCTCTTCCTTGACCTGTAGCAAAAGCATATCAGTTAGCAATGACTTTCCAATCAGAGAAGCGACGGTAGAAGAACATACGATATCTAATCCACCAACCAGCTCCCCCTCAACCCACAACTGAGGAAATGTAGGCCAGTCCGCAAACTCCTTCAACCCCTGCCTGACGTCCTCATCGGCCAGAATATTGAAGAACCCGTACTTAACGCTCTTCTCCCGCAGGATCGCAACCAACTGGCGACTGAATCCGCACTGCGGCGCACTAGGTGTGCCCTTCATGAAGAGCATAACCGGCGCAGCCTTCACCAGCTCCGCCAACCGTGCAAATAGCGCCTCCTTGGACTGCTCGGGCGTCAATGCCTGGGTCGAGGGAGCGGGCGGTTGCGTAGCAGCCGCAGGGGCATTCTCGCGAGGCGTAGCCGTCAGGGGCGGGGGATAGCGGTCTTGTTCGCGCCGTCTGCGCCCGCGCCCGATCCAGCGCCCGCGTGCCGCTCGACCGCATCGCGCACCTTGACGGCGTCGCTGCCGCTAATGGATTCGAGGATCTGGCCGTTGCGGATAAGAACCACGTAGGGGACTGCTGTGACGTTGTACTCTTCGGAGATGTCGGGGAGTTCTTCGGCGTTGATGCTCACGAAGGAGACGGTGGGCGGGGTGGTGACGGGGTGCTGGGAGGCGAGGGCGGAGAGAACGGCGCGCATCTGGGCGCAGGGAGCTGCCCATGGCGCATGGAAGTAGAGGACTAGTAAGGCCGATGGAGGGAGAGAGGAGGTGTGTGCCGAGAAGTCGGCGTCCGAGGTGATTTCGTTGAGCGTCGACATGGTGCTTGAGAGAGAATATCGCGGGGCACAGTCGTGGGGTTAGATTGCGTGGTGGAGTAGACCTTCGGATTAGTGGGGAGCTGATAGAGTAACAGCTAGGAGGCGGAGGACAATCTATGGGACTTTTTTGAAGGAAAAGGGGATCAAGGAGTAGGATGAGAAAGAAAGAAGACGCAATGTCCTCTCAAGTATACAAGGCGATGGAGATACGGAGGGGAAGAGTTGGGATGCACGAGACCGGAAGGCGAATTTTTGGCTTATCAGATCGGCCCAGATTCGGAGGTACGTAAGGCACCGTACCGTTTCTTACGCTTCTGTTTGGTTCGACTCCGCGGAGAAATCTTTGCCAGTTGCGGATCAACCATAATCCGGCCTGACGCCATCGCAAATGAGTCAGCAATGATATTTTCCTTCGTCCATTGGCTTCGCATTTGGTAGTAATCGATCCCAGGGAGCATTACAAATCAATCAAAAATGAGAAGTACACTGTTAGCTTGACTTGACGGCCTCATTTCGAAGCAGCGATGTTTGGTCAGTAAGCAGCTCGTATACGTTATCATCACGTGATTCAATACTCAAATCTGCGGTCTGGGATACTTATCATCACGTGGTCTCAAAAAGTCCATCCAATCCCTTCTGCTGAGCATTCTCGACAAACAACCAGCGAGGAGGTTTCGAAACTGCTTTATGCCCAGTTCGGTTTTGTAATCCAAAAAGGTTATTCACAAGGAACACGCATGTCCTATAGATTAAGTGGTTGCAACCTATCTAGCCACTAAATATCTGCTTTTGTTGGCCACCACCGGTCCAGCTATGGGTGGAACAAACAAGCGCAAGCGCAGAGAAGCCGAATGCTCAGATGATGAGGATCCAGTCGGACATCCTTCCGATAATACGAATGGCTTTGGAGTAGCCCAAACTCTATCACTTCTTCACGGCCCAAAGTCACAAGCGGCAGACGACAGCGGGATAGCTACTGCAGGTTCTGATGCGACACCTACAGAAGAAACTCATGATCAGACGAAAGACGGTGTATCGGTGCAAAGACCCACGAAAAAGAAGAGAGTTGACGGCGAAAAGACGAAATATCCTGTGCTTACCTATGTGGAAGGTCGACTGCAATCCTCCATCCGGATCGCGGATCTCCAAAATCTATTACTTTACTGTTTCGCGGATGGCATTGCACCTCAGTGGATCTCCATCAAGCATTCGGGACACATTAGAAAAGTTGTCGTGTTGATGATTCCCGGTCTGGAAATGGGGATGTTTGACGGGACCCTTCCATTGAAACCGCAACCTGAAGATGAGGATGCTCGATCGACTCAAGCTCCCGACGCTGAGCAGAAAGTCTCCGGTGCTGACAAGGCGGCCGAAGGGGATGAGGACAAGGCCAACTTCCTTCGCTGGAAACAAGGCATTCCGCTGGAAGATCGATCGCACCGATTCAACCCCCGTCCTTTAACACGAGACAATCTCCCGAAACCATTACAACCACTAGCGGACATGTTTCCACATATCTGGCCCGTAAGGGCCCCTGGAGACTCAAAGTACAACAAGGTTCATTCTCCTCTTCAAGCCATCTTACTTTCTTCCTTACCGAAGAACAAAGACAGTGGTGGCAAGGGCCCTAAACCGCCTAAGGTAGACAAAAGCTACGTCCCTAAGCGTACACCTATCACGGCATTCATTAGCAGTGTTGACGATCTGCGCGAAAACGATTATGTCCTTCATCCGGCCCTCTTGTCAACTGAAAAGGAGAAGTTGGCATTGGCGGAAAATCGCAAGAGAGCTGGCCAGTCGACCGAGGATGGTTGGGTCGATACACATGTCCCGAGCTGGGAAGCGGGACAAGTTCCTGAGCATGAGATTCAGCAGGGCAGTGTAACAGCCGGTCGCGATATATTGGCATTGGATTGTGAGATGTGCATTACAGAAGGTGGTAAATCAGAACTTACACGTATCAGCTTGGTACGGTGGGATGGCGAAGTGGTGTTGGATGAGCTTGTGAAGCCACAGTTGCCCATCATCGACTACCTGACCCGCTTTTCCGGAATCACGAAAGAAAAATTGGATTCTGTCACGACCACCCTCACCGACATTCAACAAAAACTACTCAGTATTCTCACTCCGCGCACAGTGCTGGTGGGCCACTCGCTCAATTCCGACCTGAACGCTCTTAAGCTTACGCACCCCTTCATCGTTGACACTGCGATTATCTATCCGCACCCTCGCGGACCACCACTCAAATGCAGCCTGAAATGGCTCACTCAGAAATACCTCGGGAAAGAAATCCAAAAAGGCCAAACCGGCCACGACTCCGTGGAGGACGCCCGTGCCGTGCTGGAGCTGGTGAAGCAAAAATGCGAAAAGGGTGAGAGGTGGGGCACAAGCGATGCCTCGAACGAAAGCATCTTCCGGCGCCTTGGCCGTTCCCCGCGCCCAGGGAAAGCAACCACCTCTGGCGAAGGTCGTACAGGAGCCGTCGTAGACTGGGGCAACCCTGAGCGCGGATTCGGGTCGCAGGCGACCGTCGCGATCGGGTGCCAGAATGACGACGAAGTAGTCCAAGGCGTCTCCGCCGTTGTGAAAGGCGATCCCAGCAACCCATCTATTCCAGGCGGCGGAGTGGATTTCACCTGGGCCCGAATGCGAGAACTCGAGGTTCTCCGCGGGTGGTGCAATCGTCTTCCCGACCCGAACAATGCCAACGAGTCGACGACGTTGGTCCCTCCTCCCGAAGAAACCACCCCGACGGGTTCGGGCACGGTCGAGCCTACTGCTGATGCTCAGAAATCCCTGGCAGATACAGTAGCCCGCACTGTCGCCAACATCCAACGCATCTACGAATCCCTTCCACCTTGTACCCTGTTCATGGTATATTCGGGCACCGGGGATCCACGAGAAGTCGGCCGCCTACAGGCTATGCACAAAACTTTCCGGGAGGAGTTCAACTCGCGCAAACCGTGGGATGAGTTGACTGTTAAATGGACGGATGCGGAGGAACAGGCGTTGAAGAAGGCCTGCGAAAGGGCCAGGGAGGGCTGTGGGTTTATGTGTGTCAAATAGAGGAATCTCCTATTGGGGGTTGTTTGTGTCTTGCATATATGGCCTTCCTTGTTGTGTAGATGTCGGCTATCGTTGGATTATTGAATGATCGAAGTCAGGATACCCAGACATTTGGTTGAGTTTGATGAAGATAGATGAATTACATGACATGAGCATTTCTACATTGCCAAACCACTACGATGATAGGCATAGCAAAGGCCTGTTTATAACTCTTTGTCTTGAATAGTTGTCTGAAATACATGATATAAACTGCACCCTACATTGTCACCGGCCCTCCTCAGTCTCCATTGCTTCCTCGCGTTGCATTGCTAAGCGCGCCACCAAATCCCGCGCTGCTATCAGCTTTCGTCTCTCGTCGTCATTGTTAATGCCCGGAGGCTTGATCTGCGTTGATGTCGGCAGATTCTCCGTGAAGTCAATCTCATGATTCTGTGGTTGACTGCCTGCTTCTTTGTTTGAGGGTTGGGATATTTCCTCCGTGGCCATCGGTAGACTCCCTTCTAATGTATTCTGATCCCCGTTCGTCGATTGGGAAACTGCATTGCCAGACTGACGCCGTGATGGGGGTCGCGATTGACTGCGCAAGGTTCGCGAACGAGTAGAGCCCCGTTGCCTGGCCTCCAGTGCTTCGCTAGGGCTCGTGGTCGATGATATTTGTTCATTTTGACTACCTGTACCAACGTTGCCATTTTGCTCGCTCAACGGTGTCGGTTTTGGTGTCTGAGAGAAGTCCGGCTTGGCAGACTGGTTGAATGATTTACGCGGTCGTCCTGGCCTTCTTTTCTCGGTGTTTCCCCCGGAAGGCCGGTCAGCCGAATGGGACATACGAGGCCGCTTGACCACAGCGGGCTGTTGCGTGTCCACATTTGTGCCTTGAGTGTCTTCGGCCATGTTGTCGAAGTGAGGCGTATGTTGACGCGATCGAGTGACCTCAATGCGAAGTCTAGGCGACTCAGGCGGTATTTGATGGCGCGTCGAGTCGGTTATGGCACGAACAGGCTCGGAATCTTTCAAAGGAATTTGGACTGATTGAGAATGCATATCCGCGAGAGAAAAGTCACCGAACGTGTCATCTTCTTCATCGAACGAATCCGCAATGGGCTCGGTGCGGCCACTTGGGAACGAGTCAGGCCAGGGCCTTTTCCTACCAGCTTGAAGGAGCCCAGGGCTCCGAACTTCTGGCATTGCAGTCGTTTCCATGCCGAAAGTTGCAGCAGGGTGCCTTGTTGTCTGCTCCTCCATGTATCGGTTTTTCAACTGGAGAGCCTGGATCTCCAACTTCAAAGTCTCGATTTCCTCGGCTTTTGATTTGAGTTCCTTCAACACCGTTCTGATCATATCGAAATCGCTTCCGTGAGTACTGGAACTGTCAAAGGGAAGGCGCCCAGGACCATTCAACTCTATCCGAAGCGACGTGAAGGAATGTTTCAATTCCGACATGGTATCATGCAGGTTGTTAACGGAGTTGGAAATGTGATCAATGCTGACACCTTGATGCTGAATCTGCTGCTCCATCGACATGGTATTTCCGTCGACCTCGTGTGGGCCGGTAGATACTAAAGCCCGACTGGTGGACTCTTTCGGAGTTGGACAGAGGATACGTTCGAGGGATCCGTCTTTGAAAAGGGGTTCAACGGTGCGCATGGTGACGATCTCCCTAAATGATACCTTGGATAGCTTCCAGAAGATATTAGGACTGTAGCCCAGTTAGAAGGCGCACTCCCACATAACCCTGCTTCTTGACTTTCGCACTCACCCATCGTCTAAAGCACACAGAACTCCCAGTTTCTGCTGACACAGCTTGCAAGCAATTTCCTGCAGGATACGACCCCGCAAAAGGCTCATTTCAGAGTTCTGCGGCACCTGTTTCTTCTCGGTTGAGATCGAGATCCGGTGAAGTTCGACGCTCAGCCATCCTGTAACGACGGCGTAGGAGTTGGACAGCTTTGCCCACTCATTTTCGAGTGCAGCGAGGGAGCTCGAACAGCGTGAACACTGGCAGAGAATAGCGGGACGAGTGAGCTTGGACAGATCCATCCTGAGATCACATTTAGCACAAGAACTGGCGACTGCCGAGGACAGAAGAAGGGCAAGCCCAGTTGCGGTCCTGTAGTAGGATGCCCACAATGATCTCGAATGCTGAGTAAGGCGTTCCACTGACACGATGACGGGTCCAGCTATTCCTCTTTCGGTTGTCGATAAGGCTCGTAAGGCATTTGGGGTGTTTCACATTTTTTTCACTTTCATCATAGCGTTTTTAGTCATAACGGTCAATTGCTAACTTTAAGGTAATGAACTAGCGGTCATATTACGGAGACGTATTCGCTCCAATACCTTACCACTGGGTCTCATGCTGAACATTACAGTACGTGGGACTGAGGGCGTCCGTTTATCCTCGGTTGCACCGGATTCTATCATTCAAAGTATGTAGTCATATCGTCATCGCTGGTAGAATGAAATGGTAATTTGAGCACTGTACGAAAGTATTGTAGCATATCCTCCTTCCAAAAGGACTCCAACTGACGCTCCAAGGCTCTGAGGACGGACAGGTCTTGGGAGTCGGGAGTCAGACATGGAAGCTGACCCCGCACGCTGCTGGTCCATTTCCCGTATCGGAGTGGGCGGGCACTGAATTAGGAGAAGATCAAGAGTCGCAACTCCGCACGGTTGTTTACCAATTGGATTACACGCTTGAGCAGTTTCAATAATAAAAGAGGCCTCAGATCCTTCTTGATGAACAGTGCTCGAATTCTACGCCGGCAACTTCTTGCCTTCCGGTCACATTCTCCCGCTCAAACGTTCGGACGCAATCGAGTATTAGCCATGGCGAGCACTTCAGCCTGTCTCGATGGGACCAATGGCAGGATCAGTAGTTGGCAGGGTGCCGGTGCAGCAGAATTCGACTTGCGAAGTGAGTTCATTGCAGTGCAGTGGAAGACACGAGGAACTAATATGGAAGAACACCCCAGGCGACACGATGACCAAGCCTACCCCTTCGATGCTCGAAGCAATTTGTCAGACTACCTTGTTGGACGACGTCTTTGAAGAGGATCCTGTGACAAATGACCTCCAAGCCTACGTCGCCGAACGGACCGGCCATCAGAGCGCCTTACTCGTCATGTCGGGAACTATGGGCAATCAGGTTGCCATTCGGACACATCTCGTGCAACCTCCTTACTCCGTTCTCTGTGATCATCGCTCTCACATCGTGCGCTACGAGGCTGGAGGCGTCAGCTCTCTGACCGGGGCCATGGTACAACCTATCGTGCCTAGTAACGGTATTCACCTTACTCTGGAGGACATTCAAAAGCACGCAGTGCTCGACGAAGACGTACATTACTGCCCAACAAAGCTTATCAGCTTGGAGAATACCCTGGACGGCATGGTCATGCCTTTGGCCGAAGCTCGTCGGATCACAGAATGGGCTCATCAGAACGGAGTCAAGGTACATTTGGACGGCGCGAGACTCTGGGAAGCAGTGGTTTCTGGAGCTGGCAGCTTGCCAGAATATGCTGGCCTGTTCGACAGTGTGAGTCTATGCTTCTCCAAAGGCTTGGGCGCACCAATTGGGAGTATCATTGTCGGGTCCAATGAATTCATCAAGAAAGCTCGTTGGTTTCGCAAATCCATCGGTGGCGGCGTTCGTCAGGCTGGAGTAATTGCTGCGGCTGCACGGGTGGCCCTCGAGGAGACTTTCGGGCCAGATCCCAACGGTCAGAAGGGTAAACTTCGAGAAACTCACATCAATGCCAAGAGAGTCGCCGAGATGTGGACTGCCCGTGGCGGCAAGTTACAACATCCAGTACATACAAACATGGTATGGCTGGACCTTGAATCCTCTGGTGTAGGTCCCAATGACCTGGCCGAAATCGGAAAGGAGCTTTGCCTCAAATTATCCGGAGGCCGAATCGTCGTGCATTATCGTAAGTCGCACACAGTACCCAGGCAACATGTGGTGGGTAGTTTCTGACTAGTCACAGAGGTTTCCGAGAACGCGCTCAGCAGACTGGAGCAGGTTTTCGATCGCGCTCTGAGTGGCGAATACCAGCGCAGCACAGATCAAAGTATTCCTTATGGAATGAAGCGGTAATAGAAACTTAGATACTTCTTTTCGTAAGAAGACATTGAAATCAGCACTCTCTAAATCCAGCTTGTCGTAATAACTTGTAAACACAGAGTTGATCCGTCACATCGATGTTCCATGGATGACCCCAGCCGCCAAATCACGATGCAGTCCTATTGGGCAGAGCTTCGATGGAGGCCTCAGGAACTAGCCTTGTTGATGCCTTGTTGATGCCTTGGCGATGCCTGGGGCGTACTCGACTCCAAAATAAAGGCGGACCTTCACCCTCAGCCAAGGAGCTTGTTTCTCGGACGACGACTTTTCTGCAGACAGCCTTCTGTCTCGTCCCTGTCGTTGGCTCCACTCCTGTCAAGTGACAGCCATCACAGAACTCACAGGATCTTGATAGTCCAGTAAATGGCTGACGGGGAACAGCTGAGTGTGTGAGTTTCCGTGCAATGTTTCTGCGTGTGGCTGATCGCTGGTTGTGGACTAACCATTGCCTATTGTACTTTAGACATAGCCTTCGTGCCTCAGATAGCCTTTCTCATACATAGCCTCTCATCGCTTTTTGACTCAATGGTCCCGGTCATCTATTCTTTCAACCGTCTGGAGGAGAAATAGCCGCTTGTGATGAATAAGTGGATTGAGTGCAGTCTTGGATATCACTCTGCATCCTGGTAGCCTACAAGGGATTTCAATTTTTTTGGAATTCTAGATTCTATTGCCTTGGGTATTCCTTGCTTTATTCCTTATCCTATCCGGCTCCCCGTGTCTGTGGATTCGTTGCCTGGAAACACCCATTCGAGAGGACCGCTCCCACATTGCCTGGAAAGAGCGTTTGGGCCAGCCATATCCATTCGAGGGCCTCGAATCAGATTCCTTGGACACAATAATTCTTCGTTGGTTTCAACTTCTGGATCTCCTGAAAGGTGAGGGGGCATTTCTCTCTCCTGTAGGGAATGCGAGACGAGGTGCCAGGCTTCTAGCATCTCCAGAAGCATTATACGAGCTGGTATTGATTATTGAATCGGTTATGCAGGCATAGTTCCCGCGCGCATCTGCTTTGATACCCCAGACAAGCCAGTCTTGACAGTCTTTTCATTTATAATTTGCGGTATCGAACCGTTTCCCTCTTTTTCTATTTCCTTCTTTTCTTTTACTCTTTGGGGAGCCATCCTTCGTCATTCTAGATGGAGGCGACTCAGGAGTCGACTCAGCCATGTACAGATCCCCGCCGTATTGGTCGGAACAACTCTGGTCTGCTTGAGGAGGATGTTTCAGACATCATCTGCATCTTGCATCCAACATCTCTTGCCGCTCATGAGGCAGTGACCGCGACTGCTTCCCTTGCGCCTCAACACATCTTACAAAAAGATGAGTTGGAATACGAAGATCCGGACACCGCAGCTCTGGATATCGCTCTCAGACTATCCTCCAACGTCCGTAATATAAATTTAGGCTTTTGCTTTGGGCGCAACAGAAGTCGGTGCGACCTTCTTCTTGCCCCGGACGACAATGCGAAGCGCATATCCAACACGCACTTCCGAATCCACCTCACCGGCGACGGAATTCTGATGCTTGAAGATCTCTCGACCAACGGCACCGTTGTAGACGATTGTCGTCTTCGCAAGAATCAAAAAGAGAACAGCCGCATGTTGACCAATGGCTCTGTCATACAAGTGTTGCGCGGCAACAATGCCTCTGATGAGGTAAGGTTCGTCGTCCGCATTCCGTCCCGGGATGGATATGCAATGCGCTACACAGAGAATATGCTTCGTTACCTCGAACGAGTTCAGAGGCAACCAGGAGGTGCCATGCAGAAGAATCGTCAAGGCTCGGTGCGACCTAGTCTAGAATGGACAGTAGCCAATGCGTATGGAATGCACTGGACAGGCGGTAGCATGTACAATGTGACTGGCCAAATCGGAAAAGGGGCATTCGCGACTGTTTACAAGCTTGCCACGAAACAACACGGAGCCGTGTATGCCGCCAAGGAGCTCGACAAGAGGAGGTTCATGAAGAATGGGATTCTTGATCAGAAGGTCGACAATGAAATGAAAATCATGAAAGATCTCAAACATGTGAGTTCTGGAACCCATTCATTTGTACAAGACTTATAGAACTAATCACCATTGAAAACAGCCCAACATCGTGCAATACATTGATCACCATGAACATGACAGATGGATCTATATTATCATGGAATACGTACCTGGTGGGGAGCTTTCTACTTATCTTTCAATCCATGGCAAGATCCCTGAAGACATGGTTAAAACGTTGGCCCGGCAACTCCTGCATGCATTGCAATATCTTCACAAACGCAGGATCACGCATCGCGATATAAAGCCTGATAACATTCTGATCGCTTCGCTTGAGCCGCTAAAAGTGAAACTGTCGGACTTTGGATTGTCGAAGGTTGTTCAAGAGGAGACGTTCTTGAAGACATTTTGTGGCACTTTGTTGTACTGCGCGCCCGAGGTGTATCCGGAATATGAGAACTATCGACGAGGTGAAATCAGAAAAAGACGTCGATTGGGTGATCCGTAAGTCAACTTCTATCCATCGCGGGCATTGCTTACATTGATTTGTAGTCCTCCGAAGACGTCCCCATACGATCAGTCTGTTGATATGTGGTCTTTCGGTGCGGTACTGTTCCACATCCTTAGCGGTACACCTCCGTACACGGGTCGAGGCGACGACAGGGGGTCTCAGATGTTGCGGAATATCATGACTACCGACCCTGATTATGATGTACTGCGCAGAGAGGGTGTATCAGAGGCCGGTGTCGATTTTGTTAGGCGCCTTCTGGACCGTGACCCTCATTCACGACCAAGGGAAATTGAATGCTTTCAACATCCGTGGATACGTGATGTGCCAGACGTTGACGAGTACGACGATAATGATATTCAACCCGCGGACTTCGGGGCCCTGTCTGATATTGGTGAAGATCTGGAGAATGAGCTTGATGCGTCACAGATCTCGCTCAATGACAATCCGGAACCGGTTATTACCGGTGACGAAAGTCAGGATTCCAACGACTTGGCACAATCCAAGCGGCCCAGGATCGACCATCTTCCTGCGGACATTCACTATCCGTCACTCCCAAACATTGAAAGCTTCCCAACTGCGCGTCCAATCCCTGAAACTACTCCGAGACGCTTATTTGGCGAAATCACCTCTTCTGCCCTGCGTAGTTCCAATGTCTTTGGAGCCAGTATGAATGCTTTCGGCGGTGATGACCTTAGCGTTCATGACTTCGTTTCTTCAACCGGTGAGTCGATTATAAGCGACGGCAACAGCCTAAACTCTGTCCTTTCCCTTCCGGACAATCCCTTTTCTGGATCCGCGCCAAGCTTGATGGGAGCTGAGAATCTCGTTGGGCAGCTGAACATGAACTCGTGGCACCCTGGCACTTCAGCACACGGTCCCCCGGCGGCTACCGAGCTGCCGGCTCTGAAGACTAGCGTGGATGAAGGAGTCGGTGGAAGCTCTGGCCCGGAACTCAACAAGGAAACACACCCGAGTACTTCGACCCCGAAGGGAGCCAAATTCAGCCGCCGAATTGAGTTACCACTTCCCGATACCGCTAGCGAACGTTCCAGTCGGGAGATCACCAGGGAAAATAGCAAAGCTCCCTCTGATAAACCCGAAGCGAGTGCCGGTGAGGTTTTTGACATTGAATTGGCGGTCACGATCGACGCTCGAACCGGCCGACAAATCTCACATCCACCAGAGGGCATAGTGAGCGACACCACTTCAGCGGCCCTGCGACATGAGATGCCTACCGAAATTCCTCCGACCATCTCTCTCCACCGGCATGAACAGTCCCGCCCGCTTTTAGGAAAGCTTACTACTCTCCCGGGATCGATATTCGACCTCACGATCCGCTTGGAAGATCGAATGACATCCTGGGGCCGTGGGCCTCTAGCAACAATCTGCCATCCTGACCCTATGGACACGAGGATTCCTGCATACGCACTGGAAGTGACTTTCTGGGCGCCGGCTATTGAGGCTCAGATTGCGGCAGGGCGCAACTGGATGGAGATTCCCGGAGTAATGGCTATTCTTTCGACCAAGACTCGCAAGTGTATCTGGGTCAATGACACAGAACTGCGCCGTGGAACTGAGGGAAGCAGCACTTGGGAGGGGTTCCACTTTGGGAAACTGTACACCGGCGATATCATCACGATCTACAGACATCGCAACAAGTTCTTGAAGTTTCAGTGCGAATTCTACCATGGAGACAGCGCACGCTCGCGACCAGAGGAGGAAAAGGGCTTCGTGGTGCGGAAGGTGTTGATGTCTAAGGAGGGCGTGGCTGCCAATCGACTGCCGGTTCGCAAAGATAACGATGGGGCAAAGAAACACGGTCTAAATGTAAGATGAGAAAGGGCACTTGGGTTAGGTAGATTTGGGATGGTCGTCTGCTTTTTTGGATGGTTTATGGCGCCGCTATTGTTAGCTATTGTTAGCTGTTCACTCTGTGGCTGTATTGCGGAACACTACGTTTCTGCGAGGTTTCGTTGGGGATCAGCATCCGAGTTGAGCATACAGCATTGGTCCAAGTTCTGGGATATCTGTAAATGAAGTTGAATTAGGCAAAATGCTTGCTGCTTCTCAATCAATGTTGGCTCGTAAGAACGAATGGGTGTTCTCCTACTCGCTGTATCCATATGTATTTCCGAGGTAGCCTAGCGATGTCTGGAGGTACGCCAAGGCACGCATTTGTCGATCATCACTTTTTTGTAACGAATGGGGTCATGAGCACTATTCCTAAAGAGATAATTCAGGGTCCGATGCACTGATAAACGGTGACGGTGTATGGTAATCTTATGGTACCTTTAATTCCCATTGTATTTGGGTGTGTCTCACAATCTGCTAACAAGGCAAACTGCAAACTTCCGTTGCTTCAACAGTCTAGAGAGGTAAGTAGCAATGGAAGGTTACCATCTCTTAAATTACTCAAGATCTACTTGATCCATCCTGCCTTCCCTCGTTGAAATCCTTTGCCATAATACATGATGGTCGAAGAACCGTTTAGATTTGGTTGGAATATTACTGTTCCCGATTTAATTTCCCGCTAAATGCAGACTCTCGAATCATTCTTTCTCTTCTTTCGGCTGTCCCATCATGTAATCTTATTTTTGATTAAATCTGTCTTCTGACCCTGTGGTCAATATGTGAGACAGCCCTTTTGACTGAACTATCTCTATCCGTCATGTCTCGCGGAGTTCATCATCATGTCGCTGTCAACGTAGCATCAAACAATTCTATTGTTGTCGCTCATCTGTGCTCCTGTCTATCTATAGGTTCCCCCGTCAACGTTCCACGGGTTCCCCAAATCTAGTCCCTAAATTCTTCGCCCTCGACGGAAACGGGCACACCCGTTCACGGCGAAAGTCAGTCCCCTTCGTGGTTGAATGGCTACTATTCCATTTCCGTATTGATGTTTCTCCCTTGTTATTCTTTCTTTTGTTGTTTGCTGGTCAGATACTACTCCGTATCATCTTGCGCTCCTGCAGGACTTCTTGGCCCTTGGCCACTTTTACTCCGCCAAAAGGTCGACCTCCTGGACGGTTCCTACTTCAACAGCGACGATCCTATTATTGAGTGCCAGCAGTAACGATCGCGGTCGCCTTCGTTGATTTACCACCAGCCGGGAACCAGAGCCTTCTATGAGAACCTCCCCGCCGACTTGTTCACCATCTTCAACTTCCCCGACGGCCACGATACCCCCATGTCCCTCTCTCGATCACCCTCTCCCCACCCGGGAGGAGGGTGGTCAAGTCCGGGTCTTACTCCCGGCAGTGGCACTTCGACCCCGCGCAGCGGTTTCCTCTCACCTAACTCACTCGGTCCCAGCGGCATATCCTGGGCAGCGGCTCGAGCGAAGAGCGACGAAGTTCGAGGATATCCGTCATTCTCGACAAGGAATAACGGGTTCTTCTCCAGGTCAAAACGCAAGATCACATCTAGCCTGCCTCGGTTTCGTATGAATGGTTCGGCGCGAAATGGATACGTTGACAAGGATGAATACTGGCGGGGGCATAACTATTCCGGGACAGGGTTGCGATTCGGGTTCGCCAGGGGTTTGATGCGGAGAAGGCGGTCGCGGGCCATTTTGGCGCTGATTGTCCTTTTCCTAGGATATTTGTTCTTCTGGACAGGTATGCTGCGAAACGAGATCCTGGCTTTGTGCGTGAACAGATTTGTTGACTCTGAGTGCTTGCAGCTATTGTCCAAAGTTACCGGCGATCATCCTTTGGCGGAGGACGCAAGTTCGTGATCATTCTACAATCCAATGTGGAAGGAGGGGTCATGGAGTGGAAGGGAGCGCGCGAATGGGCAGTCGAGCGCAACAGTATCTCTAACAAGGAGGAGTACGCGAAGCGGTGGGGTTACGAACTGGAGATTGTCAACATGCTGGCCAAGAAGCGGTACTCGCATGAATGGCGAGAGAGTTGGGAGAAGGTCGATATCATCCGGGATGCTATGAGGAAGTATCCAAATGCGGAGTGGTCAGTTCCAAGTCGTGCACGTGGCATTTACGCTTTCTAACTAATTGATGTAGGTTTTGGTGGTTGGACCTAAACACTTGGATCATGGAGTACTCTTATTCCCTGCAAGATCATATCTTCGATCGGTTGGGCGAACTGACTTATCGCGATGTCAACTTATACAACCCGCTGAACATCAGCCACCCCCCGACAGCACCTTATCTGGATGAACTATCCCGCTCGGTGGAAGGAGACGGGAATCCGTCCTCTATCGATTTGTTGCTGTCACAAGACTGCGGCGGCTTCAACTTGGGTTCATTCTTCATCAGACGCTCGCTGTGGTCTGATCGACTATTGGATCTCTGGTGGGACCCTGTCATGTACGAGCAAAAGCACATGGACTGGGAGCACAAGGAACAGGATGCGCTGGAGTATCTGTACCAAAGTCAACCGTGGATCCGCAGCAATGTCGCCTTTACACCTCAGCGCTACATCAACTCATTCCCTCCCGGAGCTTGTGGTGAAGGCGACGATCCCGACGTGCATTACTCGGAGAAGGAACGTGACTTCATGGTGAATATGGCCGGTTGTCAGTTCGGCCGAGACTGCTGGGGGGAGATGTACCAATATCGCGAGTTCAGCAAGAAGCTCAACCGCACGCGATGGCAGCGTTTGAAGGATGGGCTGGGCGAACTTTACAGCAGACTACTGCCGAAGGATGTCCAGGACAACCCGCAAGAACAACAGCAATGAAGCTAACTATTTCTTTCCTGGCAGTGTCGCCCCTTCGTTTCACTGCATACAATGACTTCATGAATTGTCTTCTCTTGAGCAATATATCTCCTGTACTGATCAATGTATGACTGTGACTATCTTCTTGGATCGATCTACTTTGCATCGTGGCTGTAGCCTCTGAGGCGTCTCTGGTTTGAGGATGTGTGATTTGGCGTGGCGCTTGGTGCTTCCGATTCATATCAGTCTAATAGTATAGAACCGACCTAATTGTATTTTTGAATTGTCCAATATTGCATGGAATCGTAGCATCTGATTAGGGTAATATACCTCTCTACAGTCAGTCCCAAGAACAGTCGAAAACCCGCCTTACCGCCCTAGAAAACGCACACCAAGCATATCTCGCCCGCCTTACATCTCACCGCCTACAACCCAACCAATCACATCACTTCAATTCCCCAATCCCATTCCCGCCGACGACATCCATGAAAAGGCACAAGAATCACTCCGACAAGCCCATAACCAGCTAAACCAGCTCCTCCAAGCGCAGCGGACCTCACATCCCTCCCAGACAACCAATCCTTCTCCGACCACCTCAACCAACAAAAAGAAAAACGAATCAAAATGCCCACCCCCGAATCCGCCGCATTCCTGGCTAAGAAGCCCACCGTGCCCCCGACATACGAAGGCGTCGACTTCGAGGACAACGTCGCCCTGCACAATGCCCGCGATGCCATTATCCGTGAACAGTGGGTGCGAAGCATGATGTCCCGACTTGTCGGCGAGGAATTGGGCAGGTGCTATGCTCGTGAGGGGGTAAACCATCTGGAGAAGTGTGGGAAGTTGAGGGGTGAGTTTCCTCCGGTGGTTTCCTTTTGTGTCCGGAGGGTTGTGGTGGTGGCATAGCTAATGGTTACGATTTGCAATCTGCAGAGAAATATTTCGAGTTGCTGAAAGAGCGCAAGGTTAAGGGTTATCTGTTCCAGGAGAAGAACTACTTTGCGGGCGAGGGGGAGAAGTCGGCGTGAGTGGGCCGGCGAGGTTGCGTGTATGCTTTGGGTTTGTGTGCTTTAGCTTTGCAGTGAATCAATGGGTGTCATGTCATCTGTTTTCCTTGTCTTTCGTCGAGGGTGGTGATGGGCTAGTCATTGCCGGAGGGGCCTGGCATTGAGTGAAGAGTAGGATGGGCAGGGGATTGTTGAGATAGATGGATTGTATTGTTTTTTTGTTCGGGTTTCCTGTACATATATCTTGACACTGACACCATTGCAATACATCGGTACATGTTCATTCGAGGTCGGAGCGAACATGCCTGTGTAGACCGATGTCAGTCCTCCACGAGGCCATGGCTCATAGTTCTTCTACGCTTGTGAGTATGTTGTGTATACAATGCACTGAAACGTCATCGTATTCTTGAACTAAGCAGGGTATCGTCAATAATAAGTGCTTTCGCTTCGCTCTGGAAACGCTCCTGGAGCAACCCCCGCAGGGCTAGTCAACTCGTCGTCACTGTCATCCATGTCCATACGAGGCTCATAGTCATCCTCTGCCGGCGGCGCACGCATTCGCATGAGTTGTTCCTCGTCCAGAGACGGGAGCTTATAAGGACCAGGGGGAGAATGAATGTCCCGACCGGACGGCAGATTGGCTAAGAGGTCCGTCGATGGTGGAATGAGCTGCGTGTTGATCTATCGATTCTGTCAATGATCTTCCATGCCCAAGTACAGCTGAAAACCGACTTACCGTGTCGTTCATCCTCTCCCACTTTGTCTCAAGCATTTCGATTACACGACACTCTTCCTCCCTGCCGGCATTATCGCCGGGATCGAGCTCACCCTTCGCAGAGCGGTCTTTGCCCCCCGACTCCTTTTCCAACCTTCGTTCCTCTCGTCGTTCAGCCCATTCCTTCTTCAATCTAGAAAACCCCCCTTTGCTCTTGCCTGAAGCTTCTTTCTCTCCCTGAGATGCACTTCTCAGACCCAACGCGCCTTTCGCTGCTCGCAGCCAGGCAATTCCCTCCCCTATCTTCCCCGCAAGCTCCGCATCAACACCGAAAAACCGACAGGCTCGGGCCCGCGCAACACGGCCTAGAACCCGCGCGTACCCGCCCACATCTTCGTCAATCCCGGTCTTACCATGCGCACCAACCGCCCCCATGCCAGCAGCCGCCTGCTCCGCATACTCGGCCGCACGAACGCACAGGCGCGCAAAGAGCAGCGCCCGCACTTTGGGGATCTCCGGCGCCCGCACCATCCAGTCCTTATCATTTGGGTTTCGAGCCTGTATGCAAGCCACAACATATGAGTCGTCTTTCAGCACAGCTAGGAGTGTCGCTTCAGCCAACGCGAGTGACGAGAGCGCCGCCTGAGCCGCTGGGTCAAGGTCTGGTACGGCGGTGGCTGTGCCTGTCTGGCGTGCTGCGCCTGTGAACGAGGGCGAGGACGCGAGTAGGGAGTGCACTGCGCTCGCTTGCAGGAGGTATTTCGCGGCGGTTTGGACGGCCACGGTGCGCTGTTCTGGGGTCGGGGTGGTAGGAGCGTAGAGGGCACGTAAAACGCCTGAGCGAGCCAAGCCGTTCAGCACGTAGCCTAGGGTCGTGAGGACGAAGGCGATTTCAAAGTCGATTCCTTGGCCGCGGACGCGGCCGTTTGTGGGCCGGCTTTTCAGCGACAACGGGGTCGAGGATAATGTAGCGCGCCATTCTGTTTCGATCTCGCTGAGGAGAGTGACCTCGATTTCTTCATCACCCGTGCTGCTTCCACTTTCGACAGGTCTGCCGCTCAATCCATGAGAGATAGCAGTGAGATACGGCAGGTAGTCGTTCAGCGCCCCGAGGATTGTGATGAGGTGGGCATCTCGTTGCGGACTGTGGGGTAGTCTTTTGTGGGCCTTGAGGGCGAGTCGCAGTGCATGTCGAGCGGTAGACGCAGCCTGGGGTAGAGATGGATGTGTGCTAGATGAGAGAAAAGTCTGAAATGCAAGATGCGAGGTGGTGGGGAGAGCAAAGGCATACACCATGGTGCTGGAGTTCTTTACTGTAATGCGGAGGTTTGAAGATGGCGGGGACGAGGAAGCGAAAGGATGAGCCGTTGATGTCATCCGCGAGGCCAAGAGTTGTCTCCATCGCACAGCCTATTACAGATATAGTCTACAAGTCAAAGCATATATTCGGGGTGTGCTAAACATTGTCTCCCTTGCTACTGCCAATATAAGAGCATGTTGGTATTTAGCTTCACTTCATGGCTAAGTACATGACCTAGATATAAGCTATCTCTGGTTGCTGAAACTGGCGTAACCACGGATTGACCTGTCAGGGGGATTTCATGATCTCGCAAGATCATAGTATATTCCGGGGAGAGACAAGTCGTGTTGTCAGCCCTGTCCGGTCGTTTGCCTGGCCAAGGCTTGGATCTCGATCTCGATCGTGAAGTAGATCAGTCAGTCGCCCCAGGTGCAGAATGGGCCGAAGAACAAGTGTGTGCCTGGCCCTGATTTGGTTCAGCTTTCATACTGAAATCTGACTGAGTCGCATGATGCGATGTGAAGGCGGACTTCGACGACTCTGAGCTGGTTGAGGGTTGCCCTTGATCGTCGGTGGTGGCCATAGTTTTGGTGAACCTCTTATCGATGTATGTACGTTCGGTTTGAGTATCTGATTGACTGTCGGGTGACCTCGTGCATCCTCACACTTCCATACCATCTGCTTCTGACAAATTGCTGGGTGCACTACTGACACCAGACGAGTCGCTCTCGGCAACATATGGCGCCCGCGACCGCACTTGATGGCTCCATTCTTGGATGCTGGGAGCACCTCCTTCTATCACGATCGGATGCTCCTCGGCGCTTTTCCCAAGTACAGTACCCGCGTACCGAGACTCCTCACCTGTTTTGCTGTGCTTTTTCTTCAGGGCTGTAAGGAAATCCTCCTTCTCCACGGACTCGGGGTCGATCATGTCACCCTCGCTAGGTAGGAAGCCTGCCACTCGCCGGATTTCACGGTTTGCCGGCCCGGTGAACCAACCCAAGAAGTTTTCCAGTCCCCGTATATCTTCCTCGCCTTGCCAATCCTCCTCCCATTCGCGCAATTGCGGTCGTAGTGCGCCAACGTCCTGAAGTGCTTGGTAGACGTCTTCTAGCACCGGCGCAGGAGCAGGATCGTCCGGGTGAGCATTTGCAGCGTGAGATGCAACAGAGGATGCGAGGATCATCATATACCGAGCTGTGAGATCGGCTAGTGTATCCAAGACGGACGGACGCGTGGCATGGAAGCCAGCTGCGCGCAAGATCTGAATAATGGGTGGGCGGAGGAGAGCATTGTGTAGGTTGGGCCCGGACATGATGCTACTCCCGGTCGGTAGAATATAGCAAATAAGATAAAAGATGATTGGCAAGCTGTAGCAGAGATATACCGATCGAGTAACAAAGGGACAACTGTGAACTGATCAGTGTTGTTGGATTATTGATGGAGAGGTGAGAGAAAGGCGGAGCGAAAGATCAACACTTTCTGCCGGTTGTTCTCTTACTTTGGCGGAGTTTCTTGTCTCCTTGTCACTTGGTTCTTCTCTCTCTCATCACAACAACAGCACAACACGGTTTCAGAGGATACTTGTTTTTCAAAGCTTGTTGGTGTCTGTGTGGCTATATCGAGTGCTTCGTTGTTCCTGATCATACATCGTCATCATGTCTGACGCCCCTCGCCCTTCACTCAAGCTCACGCTGGGCAAAAAGAAGGCGCCCGAGGGAGCTTCGCAGCTACCGAGTCAGCCTCCCCCTCCATCGTCAGAAACCCCTCAGCGCAAGATCACTTTGAAAATCGCGCGAAAACCTCAACCGGCCGAAGAGGAGGAGAAGGCAAAGAAGAAGAAGCCATCGAAAAAGCGACCGGCGGAGGGACTCGCAGGTCCCTCTGCACCAGAGGCGTCGGTGCAACCTGTGGGGCCGAAACGTATTAAGCTCAATACTTCCAAGAAGCCGGGAGTACAGTCGATCCGGATCAAGAACAAGGGGCTGGTTCCCAACAGGCCTGTCGGCGTTGGCTACGACTCTGAAGCCTCTGATACGGAAATCGATCCTTGCATCGAGGAGCAATTCATTTTACGCATGCTTCCCGGCGAAGACTGCGAATATTTACGTCAAGCGATTAACGAGCGACGATTCGATCGGTCCGAATTTTCCTTCAAACCCCTCACGCGCGAGGGCCGACGCGCCGTCCTGCGGATACGCGATAAACAGTACGCTGCGGCGCTGGTGGACTTGCCATGTATCGTCGAAGGCATGAAGAGTTGGGATCGGCGTGGATGGTATAAGTCTGCGGATATCTGTCAGATGCTTTTAGTCTTGGGGCCTGTTTCGAGCGATGCAGAGGCTCTCAATTACCCTCTTCCCTCCGACGTCGAGATCCTAGACGAGAAGACTTTACAGTATCCGCATGGTCTGACACCCCCTTTGCGTTACGTGAGAAAGCGGCGGTTCCGCGAGCGGCTCAGAACGCGAACGATAGAACAAGTGGAGAAGGCGGTGGAGGATCTGATCGCGCAAGACGAAGCCGCTATTGCCTCTCGCTACGAATTGTTGGACAAAACATCATTAAACCGGGCGGAGGGACTTGTCCAGAGTGGAGAGTATTACGAGGAAGACGAATATTATGACGATGAACAGGACGCAGAGGGCGAGCTCGATGAGGGCATGGAGGAGGTCGCTGCCGATGATGGAGGCCTCGATCCTCTCCTGGAGGAGATGGAGGCTGCTCTGCGCGGAGACAATGAAGCGCAGCCACAAGCAGCACCTTCCTCGGACACCGGCCTTGCGAATCTCTATCAAGCTGGAACTCCAATGGCGACTAAACCTTCCACGCCTGCAGCGGATACATCGGGCGATGAGAGTGACTCAGAGGCTGACGAAGAGGCGGATGTGCCTGAAGATGAACTGGATGACGAGCAGCTTGAGCAACAGCGGCAGTTCCAGCAGCATCGCGAAGAGATTGCCGAGCTTGAGGCCCTTATTCGCGCCGAGACGGTCAAGTGGGAGAACATGCAGAACCAAATCTTGAAGCACAAGCTTGCCAAGCGTATCCAGGACTTGAAGCGGGATCTATCCTTGAAGAAGGTGTCCGTTGGTGAGGGCGAGGATGCTGATACTTGATCGCACACTTCATCTTTTTAAACAGTTTGACTTGATACCCGATCGCATGTTATGTACAATTAGCAATGACATATCCTCATGTCTATCTCTTAAAACACATTTTCCATCTCCAATCTATCCCTGCCTACTTGTTTCAGGCAACTGGATCTCCTGTACCTGCACGAACAGCTCCTTTCACATCCAGATTCTCCTCTTCCTTCAGCTTCCGTTGTCTGAGCGCTTCCCTCTCGGCGGCCTCTCCATCGGGCTCTGCAGGGCTCTGGCCAACACGATCGCCTAGAATTCGATCATGTTCTTCCCTCTTTCGCCCCATGTCCGCAGCAAGATCTCTTTCTTCTCCGAATCCAGGGTTTCCAGGCCCTTGTGCACTGCCCACGGGACCGGCATGCGCCCCAGCCTGTGCTCGCTGGCTTTTCTGTCTTACCGCCTGAGCAATGTCTCCTTCTGCGGGTTGCTCCTCCACGCCATATTCCAAGTCAACATCAGAGGCGGCTTGCAGATTCTTCTGCTCCTCTTCGCGCCTCTGCTTGAGTCTTGCGAGTTCTTCGTCATTGGATGGGTTGGAGTCTGCGGTACGACGGGTAATGGAGGAGACTGGATCACCGCGCTGGCGCTGGTGAGGCTGAACTCGCTGCTCTTGGGGAGTCTGGGTGACGGGATTCTCGGGTTGGTCGTATGCGGCTTGCTTGGGGGTTGCGCTGGTTGTTCGGGTGATTCCATTTTGATGATGCTCGCGGATGCAGCTAAGCGATTCAAAACAAAGTGATAGAAAAGGGCGATACAACGATTTCGTCTTCCTGTAATTGCACAATAGATAATTTCATCGAATGCCTGACGTTCATCGCGGTAGATAAGCTGTTTGATGGATGCATGACGTCAGTGACGAACGATGCCTTGCTTTCACTCGCGATCGTCCTATGTGATGACTTCTATCTATCTACACCGTGGTAGAGTGTAGATGAAGGCACAAATCAATCAATCTAATTTACTCGAAGCTTTGTCTATCTACATCGTCGCTGCTTGCCGTTCAGGACTTGATGTGTTTTTGTTGGCGACTCCATGTACTGGACCACTTCTCATTTTATGTATACCGCTGGAAGCATAGCTGCCATTACCACATGTTGAAGAGACTACTCAATAATGTTCCTTGCAATTATAATAATTCTTTGGGCTGAATCTATGCGGCTGGGAACTTTCGGGCCGAGAAATCTGGGAGAATTGATCTAATTATGAAGACTTGAAGGGAGATTGGTATTCGTTTCTAGGCTATTCTAATACATTAAACATACATATAGGTATTGTATAGGAGCTGGCGTGTTCTGCGTTCGCGCGGAACTCACGGCATGACTATACTTTACCAGCAAAATCAGGACGTGCAAGGAATGCTTCGAGCATAGCATTCAGCTCTTCCCTTGCCTCAAGCTGTATCCAGTGACTTGTCGTACTCACTCGCTTGAGCATAAAGTCCTCGGCGAAGTCCTTCATCTGTTCGAGGAACCCGGGTATCTCGAACTTGTTGGGTTGTGGGCCGATCATGAGAACTGGCATCTTGAGTTTTGCATCGATGTTTGCTTCGATCTCGTCCTCCTTGTTCACGTTCCTGACATGAGCATGGTACCAATTGAGCGCTGGCTGGTGGTGGCCTTGCAAGATCTTGTTGTGCATAGCTCGTTCCTGAGCTTGTCAGCTGGATGTCCATTGACCGCGTGATGCTAATATACCTCGTCGCTAACATAGGACGCCAAAGGACCGTGCTTGTCATTCTGAAGCCATGCCTTTATGGCGCCTGCAGGGCCAAGATGCTCAGCCCACAAGTCTGAGCTGTCGGGGTAGAACAGTGTGAAGAACGAGTCCGGCTGTCATTGAACGCAAGGTTAGCCCTGAGAACTCTCCTCACAATGAGTGCAACCTCACATGCTGATCCAAAGTACTGCCTGCGTCATTTTCTACGAAAAATTCAATATATCCACACTTCTCGAATCCGAACAAATGCTTCGTAAACCTGTTTACCATGTCCAAGTCGAAATGCTCTCCCGGCTTTGAGTAGGGCACGGCGATAAACGTGCATGAGAGCAGACGGTCGGGGTAATAGTCTGATAGTCTTGAAAGGAGATTACATCCAGTATCGTGTGCCACGGCATGGACCCGTCTCAGACCCTCGTTGTCCAGTAATTCGATGATCTCCCTTGCCATACTCTTGAGCTTGTACTCCTCCACCTCGGTGGGTTTGGAGGTGCCGCCATACCCCAGTAGATCAGGCGCCAGGACTCCATATCCTAGTTTGATAAAGTGTTGGATCTGGTGACGCCAGTCATAGCAGGAAGACGGGAACCCGTGCAGGAAGAGGATGGTTGTTCGTGAAGCAGTTGCTGCGTGGTAGACATAATTGTATGTATGGGAAGTTGAGAGAGTGTGGAGCTTAGCGAGCTCGGGAAATGCAATGCTTGCCATTTTTGATTTCACAATGGGGTAAGATAAGAAGACGAATTTCACTGACTTGAAGCTTGAAAGGTCCTGGCTACATCGAACCGCGGAGAGTTCCTCTTGACGTTCGGAGACTTAATTGACTGTTGGTCTTTGTCTCGCTCTAATTGGTGATGTTCTTTCGATCCCTGCAAGCAGGTCCCTCAATTTGCTGACTCCATTTAATCATCAACCAGGAGGAGATCTATAGCCTCCTGTCGGTGTTGGTCCCGCATGATCATCGATGACTGAGCTAAACCATGGTGCATGGTGGTCCCAAGGCAGCCATGTCTAGCCTGAGACCAAAGCACAGCATAAGTGCATCCAAACCATCGACCTCATCCCATCTTCAGCTTGATTACGCAGAAATCATCAACATGGACATATGTTGGAACTGAACATACTCCTATAGTTGTGGATATGATTATTTATCAGACTGTGAAGCATGTGATATACCGCAAGGGTTGATTATAATTCGTTCTGAGAGGTCCAACGGTCAACCGAGGTTCAAGGAAGACCTATCCCTACCACTCAAAAAGGCATACTTTTGTCTTCACAATGCAATGATGTACATAGCTTCATGCTGTGATATCCTTCGCTCTAATACTAGCAAAGATCAATAAATTACTATCCACTACAAGCCATCATGTCCTTGTTCACCATCCCCATCTCCTCCACTGGAGGCAGCATCGTCTGCACTAATCCCACCTCCTCCGAGAAAGAGAAAAACATCTACCTCCTCACCTTCACCTCGCCAAAAGACAACAGACTCACCCCAACCTTCATCGACGCCCTCATTCTAGCCCTAGACATAATCGAACACCGCTTCCCCAAAGGCGTCGTGATCACGACAAGCGGCATCCCCAAATTCTACAGCAATGGGCTCGACCTGGAACTCGCAACTACCACCGAGGGTTTCCTCGATAAGTGGCTCTGGAAGCTATTCCGGCGCTTTCTCACGTATGTTTTTTTTCTTCTTTTTTTCACATCTCACAACGCAACAGATTACTGACACGGCGCAGGTTCCCCATGCCCACAATCTGCCTGCTGAATGGGCACGCCTTCGCAGGAGGGCTCATGCTAGCCATGTACCACGACTACCGGATCCAGAATCCCGCCAAGGGCTTTCTGTGCATCAACGAGCTTGAGTTCGGGGTCCCGCTGCAGAGCCCCATGATGAGCATCTTCCGGGAGAAATTGTCTCCGTCAGCCTTCCGGGATCTGATTCTTGAGGCGCGACGGTTCGCGGGCCCGCAGTCTGTTGCTGTGGGATTGGTAGATGGTGTGGGTGGACTTGAGGAAACGCTTCAGTTGATCCGGGAGCGGGGGTTGCAGACCAAGGCTGCGACGGGGATCTATGGTACGATGAAGGAGGAGATGTACCGGCATACGCTGGACATCCTGGATAACCATGCGGGTAATCTGGCGTGGAGGGAGAAGGTCGAGGAGAAGAAAGGGACAGCGGAAGAGGCTGCGCTGAGGGCTGTAGAGGCGTTTGAGAAGCAGAGAAATGCGAAGCTTTGAGTTCAGATATAAAGGAATGTGTTGGGTGCTTGTTCATAAGATACCTGCACTACTGCAGATTTGTATATATTGAGTCCTCTAGACTTACAAGACTGCTTTCATTCACTGCTGCCTCACTATCTCGTCTAAGCAGTAATAGTAGCATGTGCTGCAGATGCGTCCAATTTCCATGCCATCGGCACGGCGGCCATGATGCTCCGTTCTGTTGGCGGAGCGGTCAACAATCGGCTGCGGGTGTACGGCACGACCAATGTTCGCGTTGTCGATGCGTCTATCCATCCGTTTCAGCTTTGCGGTCATCCGATGGCTAACATTTACGCTATTGCAGAGCGTGCGTCAGATTTGATCAAGGAGGATTCGACGGTTAGGTGATTGAGACTCGACCGGGGAAAAGTTAATGAAGCTTTCAGTTATAAGATACAACATGCTTTATGAATATTAATGACCGTTTCTTGAAATACGGTGCGCAATGAGGAACTTATTTCCCTCCTCGTCTGTCAAGGACAGCTTGATAGTACCGTACTGGTGATTCTGAAACTAGACAAACTGTTGGGTAAAGGCGGATTTGAAGCTGTATCGGAATCCGCTGGATGATTGATACGTTGTATATGTACAGAGCGCCAAAATGAGTCCTAAAAACCTTTCTGACATGGCGATAAACGTCGAGGAAGCCTGTAATGATATTCTAAGACAAGCAGTCATCGTTTTGTTGTGACGTAGTTCTGGAGGCAGGCTCGTCGCTGGATATCAGACTGAAGACCACTGCGCATTCACTATTTCATCCCAGCAGTGGCAACATGACCCTTCAAGAGAAAAATACTCCCAGCCCCAGGGCTTTTCCAAGGCTACAAGAGAGTCCGCATCACATCAAAACTCGCTTTTCGTGCAACGTCTCTGCCATCACCACTGCTATTCGCTCACCACCACAGGCGGAGCCATGCCGAGCAAAGCACACCAACACACTAAGATGCGAGGGTAAGTAGAACTTGCTCAAGACATTAATCTGTATTCGTCTCTCTTGGCCTTCTCTTTAGCCATCTTCAGTCATCTCCTTCCCCTCAAAATCCTGTCAGTGTCTCAATTCTACCACCCCACCTGATCTGACACATAGTTAGGCTTCTCCCCTCAGCTATCGAAGACGAAAAAGAGTTGGATCCCAAGATGAAGCGCAACGCCCGCGAAGTCGAGGGTGATACCCCGAAGACCGAAGCAAATGATGGCCCCAAAGAGATCAAGCCTCAGCCAAATCCAGTCTCCAAGCGTATCAGCATCAACCGCGAGGAGATTGCGAAGCTTATGATGGCTCAGTCCCAGGCTGCTCTACAGGCCACGCTCGGACTGCCCTTCCAAGCTCGCAACGAAATTGGCAAGAAGGTCCCAGGGCCCAATAAATCTCGGAGCGTGAGTGTTCAAAGTTCCTGCCCACCAAGCATCGCTCACATGTCTGCCAGACCAATCACAAGCAGCCTGTGTATGACGGAGCCACCAAGGGACGCCCTGCTCTCTCGGACGAGGCTGTCGCAGCCATCCTCAGATACACCAAGCCGGAGTGTACCAAGGCCCAGACCTGGGTCCATGCCCATGAGTTCACCAAAGCTGTTCAGGAGAGAATGAAGGCCAAAATGGATGAGCGTGAGGACCTTCGCAAGAAGATTCATCGCAAGCTGCATGCTCAGTTGATGGTGAACAATCCCGGAGCGAATCCCACCAATCTCCAGGCAGTGCGAGGTGACCAGGTGGAGGATGACAAGCTGACTGCGACGGAGAGGGTCCAGAGAGCCCACGACAGACTTCAGAAAGCATTGGCAGAGATTCTGGATGTGTAGTTGCCCTGCAGCGTTTGCAGATGTTTGGATTCATCCTAACTGGTCTGCTGGTCCCAGATGTTGGCGTGTTTCCATCTCTGCTGTCTCTTGGTGGGTTAATGTGACATGATAAACCAACAAATGATGTGCTATGACTGAACCGGTCTGACCATCTGACATGGAATGTACAATAATGATCAGTTCTTGTGGAAATGGACAGTGTCTCTTCAGATTTTCTTGTTCTTGCTGGTCCCTTTAACTTGTGTTGGACTATCCAATTTATCTACTAACGGCCGATAAGGTGAGGCTACGACATGCTCAGGCGCCCGTTGCGAAGTTTCTGGACGTCTCGGCTCGCCAGGAGACGGACGTCGCAATTGATCTTCATGCATGCGATCCAACGGTTCACCTACGACTTGATACTTGGCCCAGTTGATCGGTGGCATTCGGACAACATTTTGGGGCGCCGGGATCGGTCCTATGTCGGCTAACGCCTCCTTGGTTGATTCCCCTGTCGTGTCGCTAACCGGTTTGTCGTCTTTATGGGTGAAATTGATGTAAGCCCCCTGATCTTTGGCCGTGGTGAGATTCCCGGCGACCAATTCGCGTGCAAACCCCTCCGGATCCGCAGCAGCAACTTTCTTCAGCTTCTCCAAGGTCTGTATATCTCGTATACTCTGCTGTTTCTGTAGTTGCAGGATAGAAATGGCGGACCGCAATGCGATCGCATCGGGGTTCTCACTTTCCGATATCGGCACGGGCGCGGGCTCTTGACCAAAGACCACCTGGTCCAGTGTGCCTGGGAAGTTAGAGAGCGACGCATAGGGAGGAGCTGGAGTAGTAGATGAGGGCGATGTTGCTGGTGGTGCAAAGGGATGGGAGGCTCCGTTTGTCATGGCGGAGTCGTTCGCCGGGGCGAGATGCGACAGAACTGGAGTCACTGGGGAATAAGGCGGGCGGGGCGGCGTGCCTGGCTGATCGTCGTTCTCGTGGTTCTCTCGCGCTGGCTGCATAGTACCGTTCTCAATTCAATAAACGAAGGGTACTCATGCCGTTGAGGCAGACATAGAGACGGTTGAAAAGGAAAGGCAAAGCGTCGAGTAGATCAGGGGTAGATACTATGTCGTGTTGCTGTGATGACTGACCGAACAATGAAACCACGAGGAATGACGTCTTGCCGCTTCTGCCTGATTCGGACATTCGGTTCTCGCCGACCGAGTGGATGTTGATAAACAAAGAGTGAAGCTATTGCTGGTGTTAAGTACCCGTGGGCGCAACCTTTCGCTGGATCATAAGCAGAATGAGCAGTGAGGTTATTCTTATCAACGCCAAAGTGGTCAGGTCATGGTGACTTTCCAGTTTTCATTTACAGAGTGTTATTGATGGCCTTGTAGCCTTATCGCAAGCATTGCTGGCCGCATTAGAGCAATATCTCACACAACATCTGATATAATAGGGAAGTAAAGATCAGGTTAGATATCTCTTGACTGTCATTCTGACTTCTTCAATCACTTTTACAATAATAGAAAAGAAACAGATCATTGACATACTAAGACAGACCATTGGACTATCCATGGGCTGATTGATGGATAGTGGATGGCCTGATTGATCTGGCCGACTCCTCACCGCCTTTAAAAAAAAGGTAGCGAAAAAAAGAGAAAAGGTGATTTTCGTCCATTCTGAGAAGATACCCTCATAATTCTTCGATAAAAGTATCAGTATATACTTGCAAAATGAAGCGGAAGACCGATACAAGAGAGGCTCTGAATGGCAATGGCCAGCCGGAGACCAAGAAGCGCGCACTTTCAAACGAAGAAGTGGCTGCGCGCTTTCGTGATGGTCTATTCGAGCCCTCGGAGCAGCAGAAGTATACCAAGGCGTACGCCCAATCTAGCCCGTAGGTGTACCCTCGCTTGATTGTATATGCGGAGAAAAAGTGCAAGAGGCGCTGACAGGAGCAAGATACAAGCATGGAGTGATTCATCCCCTAATTGAGGATTCCCTTTTGCGATCGGTCCGTAACGAGATCCAAGAACACCTCGACTTCACCGAGAAAGAAACCGATATCTACAAGATCTTTCAGTCTGGCGATCTGGCAAATCTCGACGGCTTGGACGATGCTTCTCTGTCAAAGCTACCTTCATTGCTGAAGCTGCGTGATGCCCTGTACTCTGCCCGATTCCGGGAATACTTGTCGTCCGTGACGGGCTCTGGCAAGCTTAGCGGGCGCAAGACCGATATGGCCATCAACATCTACAACGAGGGATGCCACCTTTTGTGCCATGACGACGTGATTGGAAGCCGACGTCTGAGCTATATTCTGTATCTGACTGATCCTGACACTCCCTGGCAGTCGGAATGGGGTGGTGCTCTACGTTTGTACCCGACCACCACTAAGAAGGACATCAATGGGGAAGACGTCCTAGTTCCCAGCCCTGACTTCAGTCTAAGCATACCCCCGGCATTCAACCAGCTCAGCTTCTTCACCGTCCAGCCCGGTGAGAGTTTCCACGATGTCGAGGAAGTGTATCACCCCAAGGAGGGTGAAGATAAATCGGCCAAGCGCGTGCGCATGGCCATCAGTGGATGGTTCCATATCCCACAGAAAGGGGAGGATGGTTACGAGGAGGGTCTGGAGGAGAAGCTGGCCGAGCGAAGCAGCCTGGCGCAGCTCCAGGGCCGCGGTGACATCTACGATTTGCCCCAGACCAAGCCGGTCGTGTGCGAGAAGGAGCCGGAGGTCAAGGGCAAGGGAAAGGCCAAGGTGGAGGAAGAAACCAGCTCCGAGTTCAGCGAATCCGACCTCAACTTTCTACTCCAGTACATTGCGCCGTCCTACTTGACCCCCGATATCGCCGAGGAGATGTCCGAGACTTTCTCTAACGAATCGTCACTCAACCTTGATCGTTTCCTGTCGGACAAGTTCGCTGCACGGGTACGGGCCTATATCGAAGAGCAGGAGAAGCAGGAGCTTCCCAAGTCCTCCGACGAGATCCAGGCGAAGACCGAATGGACCGTTGCTCGCCCGCCGCACAAGCAGCGCTACTTGTTCCAGCAGCATGGGACCGCCACATCGGACCAGAAAACTCCTATCCAGGAACTGCTCAACGATCTGTTCCCTTCCCCCGCGTTCCGGAAATGGCTGGCTCTGATTACCGGTGCAGAGCACATTACGAGCTATGACCTTCTGGCACGTCGCTTCCGCCGCGGGCAGGATTACACGCTCGCGAGCGGATACGACGGTGAAGAACCCCGGCTCGAGTTCACGCTGGGCCTGACACCCACACCCGGCTGGGAGAAGGAAACGGACGAGGACGAAGAGATGGAGGACGAGAACGGCGAGGCGCAGGAGAAATCCAAAACGAAGGAAACTGCCTCGGCGGACGAGCCTGCGGTAGGCGGTTACGAGATCTACATGGCCGGCGACGACGAAGACGACGGCGACGCAGCCATCTACAAGTCGGCAGCGGCGGACGAGGACGATGGCATCCTCTTCAGCACCGCGGCAGGATGGAACCGGCTTAGCATCGTCCTGCGCGACAGCGGCACTCTCAAGTTTGTCAAGTATGTCAGCGCCGCGGCCAAGGGAGACCGGTGGGACATTACCGGCGAGATGGGCGTTGACTTTGGCGACGACGAGGACGATGAGGATGACGAGGATGATGACGAGGAATAGACCCGACCCCGCAAAAGTGACGACCTCTTAAGCAAGTACTGTACATACTCATGTCTATTTCTGAATACAGCGTTGGATACCAAAAATAGGTTGCACCGCAGACATCAATATGTTGCTGCCTATCTGATCAGCCAGTCTCGTGGCTTAGACTTGATCATCTGTAGCACAGCATAGCATAGCCATCTCACTCGTAGACTATCTACACCGTGGTAATACATACGGCTTTCCATCCTACCCCAAGTCACTCCAGTGATAAACAACTCCTCTGTGAACAGACTTCATTCCACGTGGTACTGACGGCCCTCCCATAAGCCAAGGACACCACAGTCGCCATGCTCTGCGCACTTTGAGTAAACGCCGCTAATACAACGACACGTAAAACATTGATGCTCTTGGCATTTCTGTCAATCGGCGCCAATCACAAGCAAATAATCACACCGAGCTGAATTATCGCTCCACGCATTGTGCATATCTCTGGAGCTTTCTTCTGCAATGTCGATCGGCATCATAGTCCTCGTGCTCCTGCTCGATCTTACTCTCATCGGAAGACCTCGGAGAGAAATCGAGGAGGATGACAGTACAGCACAGCACATCTAAAATTTGAGACATGCTGGAGATCAGTTGCAGTGCTGCAGGCTCCTAATGACGCCACATACGGAGTGTCTATAGCGTGGAGCCTGAGATAGTGGTCAGAAGCTGGTAGTGGTGGCCAACCCGCAGCTTGCATGTGGAGTCTGAGAACAGTCTACTGTGTCATGTCTCGTGGTTGTAGTCATGTTGTACTGAGGACTGACTGACGGAGTCCAGACTCAACGGACGGAGTAAACTAATCTCCTACACCGGAGTATCTAAACCCCTGCAATCTCTGCGCTGCCGAAGACGCTCTCCGTCAATGCAGAAAGCTGACTCGTCAGTCGACATCCAGCCAGTCGTGCGAGCAGAGACTAGACAGTAGACCACAGGAGAACTGCCCCCTCCAGCTTAGCTTGCCTTCAACTCACGGATCTCCTGGTCCTAGAATGAGGCCTAAGCCCGCTATGGCAGGTGCAAGTGTTTGCCTTGACGGTGTATCAAATAGATGGGTCCGTTGGCCGATCAGACAGGGGGGGGAGATGAACGAGCACGTCCGCAGACGGGGGTTATCGCGAGGCGGCCTTCGACGATCATCGGTAGGCGATTTTCGTCTATGGAATTGTATTGATTGATTGCTTGATTGATCACCGTTGATCAAGCGATGGGGACCGATATTGAACTAGTCAGGCCAACCCCTGTTCTGTCACACGGGTCTAAGATGGGACTGGGGTGCTGCGGTCTGCAAGCTGCAGAAGAAGGGGCACAATCACCCACATATGAGTCCGCTTGTTGCTGGCGGGTAAGCACATAGATAATAATCCATCATTCAAGAATCAGCCGATAGTTATTAAGGACGAGAAGTAAGATGCTGATGCTGACAGGGGGAGGGAGGTAGCCAGACATAAGTACAGCCCCGCACATCTCCTTGGCCATGGCCATTCATCAGATATCTTTCTTGTACGCATACACAGTACTCCGTCGAGTAAGACGGAATCTTTGTTCCGTGGAGGACAGGTAGAAGCCATGCTTGTCAAATCATTACATGCACGGACCCTGAAGAATGAGTCTGGACTCGTGTAACTATAAACTACTCTACAGCAGCGACCGAAAAGACCGAACGACCAGGGACAGGGACCTTGGATAACGGCGCAGCGCGCTGACTATCAAGTAAAAAAAAAAGAATAAATAACTGGTCGATCTTGGCTTACCTGCCAATCTGTCTTGTTTGCGCTCGGTCGGCCTGCTTTGTATGGTCTTGGACCGGACAATCCTTGAGGATAGACCCATGATTAGGGTTGCAAGGCATATCCTTCGGGGCGAAAACAATGCAGCAGCGAGCAGAAGCAATCTCCGAGTGCTACCATGCCGCTGCCAATCAGTTCTGATTTGGCACATGGCGCACGCTAACAGGGATGGATGCCTTTGAGCGTTGTGGACAGGTCAGATCAGCCATGGCAAAGGCATGGTTTGCTACTTTTACTTTGTAGATACCAGATAAACCTTTTGCCAGAGTCAGTGTTTGTCTGTCAGCACCAGACATGTCCTGAAATGGAAATATGCTTACTGTAAGCTATTCCGTACTCCGTCACATACATCAAGCTTCCTCAGTTCTTTGTCTGATGATCTTGCATAATTGAGCACAGGTTTATTACATTACAGCTTGAGAGTGTGAGGTTACAATCACAGATACGGAGTCATTTACGGACAAACCAGGATCTTGAGCAAGGGCTGTCAACTCAGACTTCAGAGTCTCAGACTGCAGAGAGTGACGAGGTGGGGCTTGGGAAAAGGGAACCAGGATATAAGCGCCACCACCTTCTCCCTGTCCATGTGTGGGAACTGTGTGGCAGACATGCTGTAGTGCAGTACAGGGGCATGGGGTATCCAGACTTGAAATTCATGGATAAGTTGCAGTACGCGCCGTAACTTAGTTGTAATATTGCTGAGGGTTTATTAATGGTCACAGAAAACATGCATCAGCCTGAGGCAGAAATCCATCCCGTATGTGATCCACATGTGCCCAGAGAATGCATGGTGATGGTCGCATTCCATCCCGGCAGGCGATATCTAGACATTTTTTCCCATGGGAGGATTGACTCTATTGCATGGATTTGATTCACTAAAGTAGAATCAAGAATAATGAATACTAATGAAGTGAAATATCGGAGGACAGAAGCCGAGTGGCTGGGCCAATACGACTCCAACGTCCAATACTCGCGTGCCCAGACTCAGACGGCTCTTCTTAGCGGCGATCATTCCACCATGGTCGCCATGTGTCTGTACGTTGCTGGAAAGTCAAAACATGTGCCACTGCCACTCCGACCTAGAGTCCTACCGCGTAAGCCAAAGAATGAAGCGGAAAATGAAGAGAGAATAACCCGGAAGTGCGGGATCCAGAACAGAATTGCGAAAGAAACTGCCAAGATCTCATATTTCGATGATGTCCACACTGCTCAAGCCACCCGCAAGCAGCCGCACCTCGAGACTCGTCTGGCAGTTGGTCCCTTCCCCCGGTCGCTGGTGCATCCCTCGGCGTTTTATGCCGCTGTCACCATCACCAGTCATCACTACCTTAGCACTCAGCACTTAGCCTTGGTTCAAGCATCCATAACAATTTCAATAAATTTAATACACTTTCACAGTAGGAAGGAGAAGGGAAAAAAAAAAAAAAAAAAAGGAAGAAAAATTCTTTGGATCAATCACATTTGCCTCCAACCATAATTCCATAGTGTTGAAAATGTACTTGACAAAGTTTCTGATCTGCAAGGAGAAGGACGGACCATTCTTCTTCTCCAGGGCAAATACCACCGCCCACCACACTTGCCACGGATTCGACCGTGCCCCGACTAGACCGTTTAGGGCAGTTCGCAAAGCGTGGGGACCCTGAGGGCGATCGTTCACCGTAGCCACGTGAAAGCGCTACGGAGCGCTAATTCTCTAGCTCAAGGTAAGCAGTAGATAGATGGCCAGTGGCCAGTGACCTGTTGATTAGACAAGCATCAAGATCTCTATCTCGTCCTCAAATACATATCTTTCACTGGGAAGAGAAAATACATAGATTCATACAGTCATTGTCGAAGGCTGAGCGACTTGAGAGCTCATGTGTCATAGACTCATGCGGACAGAACAGGTCCTTGATTTTATGCTGCACAAACGGTTAAATGTTCGCCGATTCAATTTATTCCGAATTATGCAAAAATCGAGTCTCTGGTAATACCGATATAGGTGATCCTCAACCTAAATTCCAGTGATGCATCGACTCAACTTAATGATGTAATTAATTGTCGCAGTTGCAAAGCATGTACGATCTACCAAAGCTGCAGTCATATAGTGTGATCCTCTAGAACACTCTTTGAAGAGTGTCGATAGGCTGTTCAAATAATAGAAATCACTTCAACAACGTGCTGTTAACCCGCTTCTATGGGACGATCGCCGAAATCCTTCAAGGCCATGGGACTTTCACTGGGTGTGCAGGTTCTATCGTAGGTTGCATCGACTCAGTCACTCAGTTAATCCTTGATGGGCCCCACTTCCCGGTCTAGCTAAGCTGAGTTAGGACCCTGCTGACCTCGACGGAAGGACTCTCTTTAAGACAGACTACTCCGTACATAGTAAACTTTTTCCGTTCTATGGAATCTCGGACTCTAGATCCCTCATGGTCTCTAGAGCAGTTTAGGTGTGGTGTGTGGTGGGGCAGCTCGCCGATGTTAGTTGCTTAGGTTGAAAATTTTGGAGCTTCCAGTTCATATTTGAAGCCAAGACAGTTGATATTTCAATTGTCACTGCTCTCATGAAGAATGGACTAAACTGTCGACCTGAAGAGACTTTAAATAGAGCTTCAAACCCGCTGTTCATCGTCTCCGCCGAGTCCCTCTGAGATGGAGGTGGGGCAAGTCAGCCCAGCACCCAAACTCCTTTCATGGATGCGGGACTGCAAGGTGGGTGCTGTAAGATCTACGTGAGAATTGCCTAAGACAGCTTCCACAATTGCCTAAGTCAGGCAAGCTCCAGTCCTCGGTTTTGCGAACAATTTATAGAAGACTTAATTCTGCACGGTGGTTCTGATACCAGAAATGGGCCTTTGCTATCGACACAGCCTAGGTTAGAGGGTAATTACAGGCAACAAAATATATAGAATATGATAAGAATTCATTAGTCTCCTTGATCTAACTATGTATTGCTTAATCACCTAGGGTAAACACCCAGGATCTAGATAGGGTTAGTCGGCAATTCTCCCTGACATTTGATCGCACACCTCACTCAAACGCCAGTATTTGGTCATGGCACGTCCAGCCATGTTCAATGGCAAATCCTCAGAAAACAGCAGAAAGCCAAAAGGCCACGATTTTGATTGCCAACCCCAGCAGAGACGGTTACCTCGTGGCGGTGGGTTCCTCGTTGCTCGCAGGATTAGTGCACATCCATTGCTTGGCTAGCCCACGAAACTTTCTGACTGCGGGACTCTATCTTCATCAGATAGACCGCTAGCTATTATTTGATATTTTCTCGACGGAGCTAGCTACTCAGAATATTCATGGTTGATTACCAGTCATCTAGGCAGATAAATAGTCCTTCCTGTACGAAATCTATATGCATTTCATCGCTGGTGACGGGGCCGAATGGACCTTTTTAAATACACCGTACGCGAAATAATGCCAAGGCATCAGGCTTGCTGTTCTACTTTTTGAGCCAAACATTTGTCATGATATCCCAGAAGCGGTTTTGGAACTTCCATCGGATCATAGATGCATAGCAATAGGCACCAATCTGAGAGGAAAAGAAAAAGAAAGAAGATAGACAGATTCATGTACATCATGCAATAGAATGTAGAGACTGGTAGGATGTGACTTGTGTGTGGGAAGGGGGCTTGCATTCCAAAGGAATGAATGATGCTATCTGATGGAGTATTCGATCTCGTCATTCCTTTTCATTCTCTCCTTGCTTGTGGTGTCTTACTTATGATTTACTGCGATTATTATGGCTACCACGTAGTAATAGAGTCCCACCACTGCTGCAGCCGCTGCCACTGCATACTACCCCATACATACTCCTCTTCCTCATCCATCACTACCATCGCCACGAGGTCTTCACCCTACTCTCCCACAAGTCTTGTCTCTAGTACGACCACCGACTGTCCAAAGTACTACTTACCACACAGCAGCGCTATCCATTTTCCTTACCACTTTTCCCGTCTTCCCATTCTTCCTTCCTCGTTTCATATCATAACTTATATATATTTCATTTATTAGCAATCCCTTCTGCCATTTCCCCGCTTTTTCGGCCGTCTCAACGAGGACTCGTGGCTATCAGAGCTAAACCTTCCAGCCCTTCCTTTTCTCTCGGTTCCTTCAGAGTTTACAATCCTTCTTGTCTCATTTCCTCTTTCCGGTGTTCATTCGAAGTTCGAAACGCTCTAGCCTGAGCAGTGATCGATAGTTCCCGCTGTTAGGCTCGCCCCAATCCACTCCCAAGTCTAAACTATCAAGACACGAGGAGAGAGCCAAGTTTCCCAGGGCGTCCCAATTTTACTGCTTGCCCTTTTTTTGGGGTCAAGGCTGTCTGTTAAAAGTCAGAACGACGACGATTCCCGTGCTTCGCTACCTTGTCTCCCTCCCCTCTTCCTCGTCCAAAAGTATTTGCTCTTCGCATCCACCCGGTTTGTGTCTACACGGACAGGGTCTGGTAAAGAGTTCTACAACCGATCTGGCCCTACTTCTCTCTTACTGCCCAATTGTTTATCATCATTCGCCTCGCAAAAACCTCCCCTGTGCCACGTTTCACCACGCCTCCCGAGCTTCCGAGCACGCTGTGCTTTTCGCAACAGGTAAGCTCTTGTGCGATCGATTGCTTCCTTCCTACTGGCCTTATTATTGGTTACCTTTTTTTTTTTTTCTCTGTCAAATTCTGGCCATCCAAACTGACGCGACTCCTCCTTATTCAGAGAGGAATATTGTCCGAGTATACGAGTCTAGCGTCGTTTTCTGCTTCTCTTTGTTCCCTTCGTTGGTGCGCCGGTGGTCTCGACTGTACTACTGAGATCCGGCCATTCTGCCACTCTCCTCCAACTCTCGTCCTTCCCGCCGACCACTTAGAGCATCGTTCTGACCACAAACGACGGGCCCGCCTGCACGCAACCACCCGTTCGACAATTTCCTTGTTCTCTCTTCTGTTCGACTTGAACTTCGCAGTCTTGCGCAGTGCGAAAATCTTCTTCGTGTGGTTTCGATTGCGCTGCGCCCTTTTTGTCGTCCGTGTCGACCGAGCCCTGGGATTGCGCCAACTGAAAAAACGCCCCCAAGTCGCATCGCCGAGCGGGCTGCGTTTTAAGGAGACCCGAACTTCACCAATCGCGATCACTTGGATTTTTATCATAAATTGGAAGCTGATATGCGGATTGCGACCGTCAACGTTCTGAATTAGCCTCGCGAAGGACTCTCTTCTACCTTGGCAGCGTGACTGGCATACTTCGATATACCGAACGTGAAACAGTTCCCGTCGCATTCGGATTCTCTCTAGTCCTTCGCTGTGACGAAAATTGCTAGCACATTGACTTCACTGCTCCTTTCTTCATTCTGCGACTATATAATTCCTGCCGTCCAGCCATCGAGTGTTTACGTGACCTGTCGCCCGGATTATGAAATAGTTTAAGCAACGTGACGTATCACACCTTATAAGCCATCATCGAAATAACCACGAATTTTCGCCATTATCACCACTCGAAACCACTCGTCGTCCGCGATGGAAGCCACTCTCACCCATCGACCGTGGGAACCTACCACAACAGGGCCGCAGAATGCTCCGGCCTCTTCTGCGCAAACATTACCCTCGATTTCCACTCTCACCGCAAGTATGGCCAGCAATATACCTCTTCCCGCAGAGAAGTCCCCAGGGAACGCCTCGTTGAACACGATAGAACGCGACTCGGGAAACTGGTCAATGCCTCAAAGCACAAGTATGATTAGTTGTTCTATATCTGCCATGTCAGGCACTGACAACCTACCAGGGTCGTCGACCTACTCCACGGCCACAAACGGAACCGGCAATTATCCCTCTCTATCGTTCCTCACTTCCTCTCAGCCGTCCCCGAACCGTGGTTCTGTCTCCGAGCGATCTCCCTACCCGAATGACCACTCGAACACGAATACTCCTTCCTCTGCCGGCGCTCATCCGTCTCCCAATTTTGGCTCCCAGACGAATCCAGGCCTTCCATCCCTCAACCAGAATTTCGACGCTCCTTCTCAACGCGGCAGCATTGCAGAGCCACCCGAATCGCGGCGCAGCAGTGTTGATAGTAGGATGAATCAGGGAATCAGCTCCCTGGCTATCAATCCCGCCTCTCCTTATCACAGCACAAACGCCTCCCAAACATCAATTGTGTCGGGATTGCAGAGGGAACGTGGAATTTCCATGGACGTAAATATGAACAATTCATACCGAGGACCCCGCTACTCCGGGAGCCAGCCCCTCTCTCCCCTTGGCCCACGAGCCGGAGAGCACCGTAGCTTTGCGGCTGGCCGCACTGCTCCCGCGATTTCATCAAACCCTCGTTCCGAAATTTATGCTGCAGAGACGCCTACCGCCGGTCTTGCCTATGCCTTTCCCGACCCGGATGTCGCGCGATCAAATTCGATGTCTTCCACAAACGATAAATCTCAGCATCCATTCTCAAGGAAGGGAAGCACCGCCGAATCATTGGCCAGTAGTATCTACTCGGATGCGCGATTGCCTCGTGGCCAACATGGTAGGTTTATACTTTTGTTCTCTGATAGTGCAATTGTAGCTTGCAAACAACTTTGCTGACTGCCCGCCAGAACTCCCTCAGAATGTCCACCACCATACTCTGCAGCACAAACAAGTACGCGATCTCATCGGAGACCCAGAGCCGCCCACCAGCAGTACTCCATACAGCCGCACGCCTGAGCTGCGAGTAACTCACAAGTTAGCGGAGCGCAAACGTCGCAGTGAGATGAAGGACTGCTTCGAGGCATTGCGCATGCGGTTACCTCAGAGCCAAAACAACAAATCCAGCAAATGGGAAACTCTGACAAGAGGTACTAGTTTTGCCACCGCTTCTTCGATCGCCTTTATACTGACTTTCGTCTAGCGATCGAGTACATTGGACAACTGGAGAAGATGTTGAGCAATGCCCGTCGTGAAAATGACGTGTTGAGGAGTGAGGTTGAAGAGATGCGAGCTCAGCTGAATCAGCAACAACAACAAGCACACCAACAGTCACGGCCTCAGTCAATATTCGAGCACCACCCAATGAACGGACCACAGGCCAATGGACAGTCGCATGGCCCTGGTCCGGCCTTCTCTAATTATGGCCCTAATTCTTCTGCAATGATGCAAGATCAACCACGCACATTGCCTCCATTGGTGAACGGCTCCGTTGCTCCGATGCAGGGAGTGCAATATACCGACGACCGTCGGTAGTCTGTCATCCTAGCAAGGGCCTTGATTTGGATTTTGATACCTCCCTCTCTCCCACCTTCAACATAGCGGCAATTTTGTCTCGTGTGCAGCTACATACTTTTGATATTTCGTTTCTTCTGACTCTGGGCCCTAGATCTGAAACGGTATGTTACTCGCCTGTAGATCTCATTCGGGTGGTGTATCTTGTTCTGAGCGAGACTTTGTCTGTTTGGCCTTTTGTTTTATCACTTTTGCCCAGGACAATTCATACCCCGATCATCATTCTTCTTTTCGTCCCCTGATCTCATGATATAGTTTTTCAAATGTGTGAGGATGTGTATGTGTTACAACGACGGACCACTGTTTTTTGCACGCTCCGATTTTCTCTATTCTCGCTTGTCTCTATTGATTTGTCCTATTTTCTTGCATCATGACATGTTTACTTTGTTCTGCATGGGATCGGAGATGGGATCCGCCAAGAGCACTTGGCTTTGGATATGGGATACATTTGATGGCCATCTTTCTATCCGTCAAAGAACTCGACCAACGGGGTTGACGATGTTTCTGTATGATCTGTTGAAACAGAATAAAATTTACAATTTCAAAATAGCAACATGAAGCCCTCGTCGGGTGTTCTGTATAAGGTATGACAAGAGTACTCCGGAAATAAACAGACAATCCTGGACGATGGGTCTTGAGTATATTACGCCATGACGCTGTCTCCGCTGGCAGACTCAGTCTCTCTGCGAATAAAATCAAATCGGTTCCTGGCTCTATTTTTGGACAATCTGCTTCTGATTGGCACTCTTGCCTCCTAATAACCGTGCCAATCCTTCTCTCTAAGCGCCCGGCCGGAGTCGAGAGCAGGGCGGCTACAGCTTCGTCAGGAACCCCAGCGACCCAATGATATCGTCGAAATCCCATCTTCAACCTCATCCTGCAGAATCTAGAAGTCGACCTCAGTCCAATCAAGGCGATTTGGACCGGCAAAATGCAACAGTCACTGTAGCAGCTATGGAGCTCGGAGATTTGCCTGCGTCGTGCGTCGATGCAGGACGAGGTCAACACAATGCTTCATTGGTGCAGTGGGCAGGTAGGTACCTGAAGCATGGTCTTTAGATCCATCGCTAGTAAGGTAGCTTCTCAATTTCTGCAGAGCTTCTTGCATTCTGGCCTTCTTTTTCTTTCTTGCATCCGTCTGGTTTGCTCTTGCAGGGTACTTGGTCCTTCTATTTGTTTGCTTTGGAGTACTTTCTCTTTCATATCTGCGGCATCTCTTTATTGTTTCCGTGTGATGAGAACAATAGCGGATTCATTGTTGCGTTGTTTCATTCAGTGGTTATAGACTATCTTTATTCACTGGTTTCTTACGTATGCTTTGTTCAGTCTATTATACTCGCGAGATTTCTTTGCTTGAACCGATCCAGATGAACTGCCTGCTCTTCCTCTGAAAATTACTGCGGATTTCTTCATACAACGTACTGGCTTGGTGTTAAGTCTTGGAGTCTGTTATGGTATGTCCTGGCTGCAGAAACATATACTGAAACAAAGTCGCTCAAGTCTAACACCGTTACGTACAGTCAAGAGGAGAGATGGCTCCTCAACCGAAAAGGCCAGAAATGCAGCTGCAGATTCCCCAAGTTCCAAATTTCCCACTATCGTCACCGATCACTGAGGAGATCTCCAGCCCCGCTGCGTCCTCAGATGAAGACAGAGAGATAGAACGGAGTCGTCCCTTCGACTACCTGACCAAAGCGTCGGACAAGAACCCATTCCTCAAGGCAGAATTCACAAGCGCGGGTCGAGATCGCTTGGTTGAACGCGAGATCGGTGTGTTTGACACTGCGCGGGGAGCGGCGCAGGGGGATAAACCCAAGGGGCTGAACTTGATCACGGATCTCCCGATTGGAGTTCCCAAGATACAAACTGGGGCGGCGGGTCCTGCGTTTGTGGATCTGAATGATCTGAAGGTGCTGGCAAAGGTTCGTGAGAGGGAACGGACCTCGCAGAAGATCAGAGGCATCTTGAAGAATGGGACGGCTCAAGGCTTCCAGCGCCTTCCTGACGAGGCTTCCGAGCTGGGGAGAAGGCGATTGTCCTGGCTCAGGTCGGAGAATACAACCTCGCCGAAGAAGAAGAAGAAGTATAAGGACGAGCTGTCGCCTTCTGATCGGCCCATCATGATCGGGTATACTGTACCATTCGAGGAGTCGTCGCAGTCTCAGGATGACGGAGCAAAGGGACCGGATAGTGCTGGAAGCCAGCGTACACCTATGACCCCTTCGATTGTTGTAACTCCCGCGAAAGATGATGGTTTCTGGCAAGGGCTTGCTCCGGACTTTCACCGTCCCAGAGCCACCTCCAGTATCTATTCTCAGCGCACGTCATTCATTGGGAATGGCAGGCCTGAGATCCCACCAGTTCCAGCCATACCGGCGTCCCATTTCGAGGAGAGGGGGAATCAGCTCGACGTGTCTCGTCGGGAGTCTGTCCTGTCGACAAGGAAACAACGCTCATTTTCAACTGGTACCGAATTTGAGGAAGATGATGGTCCGCGACAGGGACTTCGTGCTCGTTCTTTCTCCACGGAGAGCTCGAAGAGAGGGCTGGATCGACTGAGTGTGATGACGGATACCAATCGACATCAGTCCCAGGGCTGGTGGACTTATCTCTTGTCACCTATGCTGGGACGGTCGAGCACGATAGCCAGTAGATCAACCCCGACCAGGACGGAGCGGCCTCCCATGCCGACACTCCTCACGAACTCGACGGTGTCAAGCGATGAGTGGTGGGAGAAGGAAGTCTCGTACTTTTCGCCAGATACCCCGGAGACGACCGTTGCTACTAGAGGCGAAGTGACGAATTGGCAAGAGGGTGATGCTAACCCCTTCGCGGATGTCAATACCGCCGATGAGAAAAAGTCAGTCGAGATGATGTTCCAGGGGGAGCCGATCCAGGGCGCAGCCGCTGAATACTACCAGGCATGTGCCCATGAGCTATTCAGCGGAAGGCCGTACTTCGAATGCATCAACCATGTTTGTTCTATCACGCCGAAAGACGGGATCCCGGTTCTTCTTGCTGGTTCTATTGCTGAGCCACAGAGTAACGAGAAGAATCTCCTTATTGACGTGGATGACGATGTGTCTCACTTAGGTCCTGTGAATCCCTTTGAGAGTGCCTCGCAATCCGGCGCTCGTTCGATATCTGGGACCACCGCTGTGGATGACCAACTCGCGTCGCCTTTGATTTCAAACACGGAAAAGAAGTATCTGGAGGAGGCTACACCAGAAGAACCAAGAGGCAAGTCTCCTGAGCCAGAACCCATCGCGAGAGAGCCTCCTGTCTATGCAGGGGATCGACCGGAGAAACAAGCCTCTCATCTCTTCTTCCAACCAACGAACACTATCACTCCTGCGGCCACAAACATTAACATCCAACCACCTGAACCTCTACCACCGGCCTCTGGAGCTCCGCAGGAGAGGATCATCCCTCAATATATTGTTGTACCATCTCAGAATCTTGGCGGAGGCGGGCGTCTCCAACCACAAACCCCTGATGCCACGTCTCCTGGTCTACAGCAAGCAACAGTGAGGAGTGGGTCAATTCCGTTAACTGAGATGGCTTCTGGACCAGCTCCAGCCTATACCGCCCATCGCAGCGCGTCTCCTCCACTGCCGCCTCGTATAGACCCTGCCCCCATCACTCGAGAGCAGATGACGCACCCATGGTTCGAAAGGGAGAGGATCGAAACCCGACGACGAAGACTGGAAAAGGAGGATGCTATTGGCAGGAAAGCCGGTGGACTCTGGCGAGGCAGAGGCTGTCTCAGTAACAAAGGCTGCTTCGGCAGGCCGGGAAGAGAAGGCCGCCTGAGACGCCGGTGGTATATGGCGATCACGACTTTTTTTGTCCTGATTGTGGTAGTTGCTGTTGTCCTTGCGGTCATGCTGACCAGGAAAGGGGATGACACACCTGTTCAGTCGCAGTGGCTCAATTTGACCGGATATCCACCGATGCCGACTGGCATTGCGACAATCGCAGGGTCAGAGCCACAGACCCAAAATTCAGGATGCATCACTCCATCCACACTCTGGAGCTGCGCTCTGCCGCCAGAACAGCAGCCAGGCAACAAGCCGTACGCGCCGAATCAGCCCAGCTTCCGAGTCGAGATACGATTCCGTAACGGGACCTATGCGAACAGCACAACGGCTGCCTCTACTTTAAGCCACAAGACCAGAGATATAAGTGGATCATTCAATCCATCGCCATCGCCCCAAGTATCAAAGACCAGACCTTCCTGGGCAATACGACCGATCAAAACGCCGTCCCCTACGCAGGCGAAGAGACCCCCTTCTTCATCACCATCCTCTCGACCGCCTCCCTCTCTTCATCCCGACTATCCCGCCGATCCAACAGCTCCTTCCCAGACATCGAGTCCCTCATCCCATCTCCCGATCTCAACTCTGACGGCACAGCCGCAGCCGCTACCCTCTATCCACTCCCTGAATCCCAGCCCGTGCGCCTCTACAACCGAGGCCTGGACACAGAACACTACGGCTTCTACACGTACTTCGACCGCTCCATCTTCCTCGAGAGCCTTGCCCCTCTCAACGGCAGCACAACAGACAACTCCGCCGCAGACGCCAACGGCGGCGCCCGCGAGACCGACGCCCGCGTCCGCTGCACATGGGCACAGACTCGCTTCCTCGTGCAGATCTGGACGCAGCCGACTCGCGCGCGCAAGACACTCCTCCGCAGTAATCCTAGCGCCAGCGCCAGTGCCAGTGCTAGTACCACATCCACCCCGTCTTCCCTGTCATCTACCTCCCCCGCCTCAGGGACGAGCAGCCCGACTGCATCCTCCTCCGCCACGGACTTCGTCCGGCCGGGGTCATTCCCGTACGCAGTGACCATTACTGTGGACCGGCACGGCGGTGTCGCCAAGGAGAAAATGGTGTATTGCTACGCGATGGAGGAAAACCAACGTGTCAACTCGACGGAGAAGAAACTGCAAATTGAGGATAGGGGGTTCGGCGGGAAACTGGTCAACGCTGCGCCGGGTATATTCAACCTCACCTCCTCTTCGGACGGGGATGCGATACAGGATGGAGTTGACGGGGGACGGGGGCTGTTCGTGCCAGTGGGTGAATTGGGTTTCTACGTCGTGATCTTCGCGCTGCACCTAGAGAAAAGTCATTGTCATTGATATCATGTACTTGTTTTTGCATTCTTGTGAGAATGATGCTGTTCATGTAGAGAAAAGCTGGACTTTGATCTTGAATTAATCATTAATTTGAATTTGCTTATATAGATCCCTGACGCCACGTATGATTGTCCAACAGATTGGCCCATAGCTAAACCAACACCTCATATTAATAACATCATAGCTAATCCCTTTATCTATCCAATGACACGACATCGCCCAAGAAGAGTCAACGACATCCGCTCAAACGAGAACCATCAGGCCAATGGCAAGACTACCCAGAGCAGCGAGGCCAGGCACCACGAGGGTGGAGCCAGGGCTGGTATGACGGGCCGTGGTGGGTTTAGGGTTCTCTTCACCGTCGTCATTGCTGCTGGTGCTGGTGCTGCTGGTGCTGCCACTGTCACTGCTGTGGCCGCGACTGCTGCTCGACTCCTCATTGGGATCGACGAGACCAACGTAGTCGCCAGTGCCAGTAGCCTTGGGACGCGCGGTAGTCGAGACGCCGGCGGCGGAAGAACTAGCCGCGGCAGAGGAGGATGCGGCGGCGGTGGGCTTGATGAGAGGGATGCTTGTCGTCTCGGCGGGATGGGCATCCGCGCTGGAAAGGACGGTGGGGACTTCGTCGCTCTCGGTTGTTTCGGGGGTGTTGGTCTCCGTGGCGGAGATGTCGTTATCGACGACAGGGGTGGCCATAGTGGCCGTTTCGGTTGGAGTAGTGATTACTTCGGTGCTAGTGGATGTCTCGCGTGCTCTTCCGTACAGGCTTGCGTGGGCGCTGGCGGCGAGGGCCAGGCTGGCGATGAGCTGAGCGGAGACACGCATTGTGATTTGTGATGTATGAAGATGGGGAATAGATGTAGAGATAATCTGAGTTGAAGCACGGAGCCAGAAGAGTCTGAGGCAGGCGCAAGTTGCGACGTTCAAGGAAATCAGTTTAGAGTATCACGGACACAATAGACGCTTGATGGACTTGATAGCAGGTATTGAACGATGTCGAGGGGAAGCTGATCAAAGAAGTCTTGGGGTTCTTATAGACCAACGAGGACCCTCAATGCGGCTGTCATCAAGTGTATTCGATGGTCAAGAGCGTCCATATTCGTCCTTGTTCAATCAGAGTGCTATTCCTGAATAGGTTGATCGTAAACAAGCGGAGGAAAGTAAAGTACTGCATCTGGAAGAGCACGAGACTGAGCAAACACAAGATTGTCCATTTCTAGAACCTGCCTAGGGCCTCATCCCTTGTAAAACACTGCCTGCAGAAGTCTTTCCAGCTGCAGATGTTGATCGCCTCCACGAGGAATGTTGTGGCACGTGATATACGGCTTCAGGGCTTCTTTAACCCTATCTTCCTCATCACCGGAAACGGAAACCAGTGTTGCCAACAAACAAACGAACGGATTCAGATCACTCATGGCGACTCCTTGCATAGTCCTTTGCTTCCGGTACGATTTGTCCAAAGGAGCTCTCCCAGCCTGAAGGACCAGAAATATGCCCTTGACCGCGTTTTTGACTTGCCCGCAATCAGCTCCTATCGCCTGGCTGAGCATATACGCATCTCCTCCAAAGCATTGATTCGTGATTTAAGGATTTTCATGCAATCGACAAAGTCGAAAGAGGACTGGAGGCGATTGTACTGCAATAGTATGGTTAGAGTATCGCAGCGACCATGATAGGCTGGCGGTATGAGACCCCGAGTATATTGCATATGCTGGATTGTATGGCCGACGCATATTATTGTACCAGCCTAGACAAATAAAAAGTCTTCACATTGTTGATGAACATGTTGCTGCATGGTTCTGAAACACTGCTCAGCTCTAGCCATTTATCATCAATGGACTCGTTGAAAGCCAGCCTCAGGGGTCCGAAGAGTTCCTATGAACACCATAACAAGTTCTGGCGATATAGGACTGAGCATGTCTAAATCAAGCCTGCTGCATCTGATATATAGAATGTGTAATTTGAGCTGCAATAGACACCACTTATCTATCTGTCCATAAACTCATTCTCCATATTGATATGAACAAGGAGTGTTGATGTTGATATGGAGAGAGTGGAGAGCTGGGAATAGGCGCTAATCTGGATTAGGTAAGGCAGGGTTGACCCACGTTCGACATTATTATGGAGGAGCCACTTGAGGCGATGATAATCGTCTACGGAGTATGCTGGTTGCCATCAGCAAACCCTCATTTCTGCAGATTTCTACTCTGTGTATGTCATGACAGAGGACCTACACGGCCATGCCTCCGAGACCCGATCTTCTCAGCCCCTCTCTCCTCTCCCCCGGTGATTACGATGATGACGCCTCCTCCTTGCGATCCCTGTCAGAGCAGGACTCTGACTCCGATGATGACGAATTCCTTCGCAAGTCTCGCACTACACTAGAGCTGGCCGAACATGATCGTGCAGTCTTGGAAGAGGAGGAAGAGATGGAGAAACTGTTGGTCAGGAGCGGGCCAACTCATGGTCTGCGACGGATCTTCAGCCCGAACGGCAGCAGCGTCAAGATCGGGAAATACGAGCGGAATCGGGACCGAAGGAGGAAACGCCACGATGAGCGCAAACGGCGTCGTCGTAGTGCGGCAGGAGGAAATGGAGAGCTGATGTACGAGATGGAAGAGGGCTATCGAGAGTCCGAATCCTCGCTCCTGAGCGGCTCGTCGTCGGAACTAGACCAGCGATTGGAGAAGCAGTACGCGGATGTTCGGGTAAGGGTGGACTCTTGATTTGTTTCTGTTCAATTCAGACTGCTAATTCACTGTAGCCGCGGCGAATTTCTTGGACGAAATTAATACTGGTCTTTGCGGCGGTCTTGGTTTTGTTCCTAATATTCCTGCTGGGTGCATACAAAGCCTCAAGTGGCTTTCGGGCTTCGCACTCTAACCAGCGTCTACTTTCCAACGGCACCGCTCTCTTTGGTCCTACCACCATATTAGTTTCCCTCGATGGGTTCCGGGCGGATTTTCTCGATCGTGGTCTCACGCCGACACTGAAGGCGCTTATCGCCGAAGGCGTTTCGCCACAGTATATGCTCCCCAGCTTTCCCAGCGTCACATTTCCGAACCACTTCACTCTGGTTACAGGCTTATATCCAGAAAGTCACGGTATCGTGAGCAACACTTTTTGGGATCCTGCCCTAAAGGAAAATTTCCACTACACCGACCAGTCAATCAGCATGCAGCCTAAGTGGTGGAATGCCGAACCCTTGTGGATGACCGCCGAAAAGCACGGCCTAAAGACCGGGATTCATATGTGGCCTGGCTCCGAAGCGCACATTGGAGGAGTAGACCCAGCATATTTGGACAAGTACAATGGGTCAGAAGAGCTCCCGCGAAAAGTCGATCGGATCCTGGAGCTGCTCGACTTGCCAGGCGCAGAAGGAGAGTCCTTGATTGTTCCCGAGCGACCGCAGTTCATCGCTGCATATGTTCCCAATGTTGACGCAGATGGCCACAAGTTTGGCCCCAACAGCACCGAGATCCGAAATACAATATCGCAGGTTGACAGCATGTTGGCCGAGCTGCTGTCGGGCCTTCACAGCCGCAATCTGACCGATATTGTCAACCTTGTTATTGTTTCTGACCATGGTATGGCCACCACCGCTACGGAACGATTGGTACAACTGGATGATTTCATCGATCTTGGTCTGGTCGAACGTATTGACGGATGGCCATTGCGCGGTATCCGGCCGAAAAAGCCTGAGGATCTTGAGACCTTGCAAAATCAGCTCGAAAACCTGACGCTACAATACCCACATGCGGTGGAAGTCTACACACGGGAGACAATGCCTGAGCGATATCACTTTTCCCGCAATGACCGAATTGCTCCCCTTTGGGTAATCCCTAAGACGGGGTGGGCGATCGTCGAACGACCAGACTTTGATGCTCAAGAGGCTATCCGAACTGGAAGAGTCTATCATCCAAAGGGTGTTCATGGCTACGACCATGAGCATCCTCTGATGCGCGCCATCTTCATTGCTAGGGGGCCTGCGTTTCCTCATCCCCCCAACAGCCGGTTGGAAGTTTTCCGTAAGCAAACCCCTTCTACAGGAGGAAGTCGAGTATAAGCTAACATGGGTGCAGAAAATATCAATGTGTATAACTTGGTTTGCGATTCTCTGGGGATTGATCCGCTCCCCAACAACGGAACGCTGCGCCTTCCACTACAGCCAGTGGGCCTTCATTCTGATCAAGATGCGCCGGTTGTCGACAAGCCTGCCGACCCTCCAATCAGCAGCGCTAGCGTGAGCGTAATCCCCTCGCAAACCATGACACCCGCCTCAACTCCATCAGAGGTGTCGTCAACAGCTCTTAGCCAGCCAACTTCACCATCTGAAGATGAGTCCAGCTCGGAGCCGCAAAACGAACCGGAAAGCGACGACGAGCAGGGCCCTACTTGGTGGGGAACGCTCTGGAGCAAAGTTGAGGAGCTCAAGGAATGGGCTACTGATATAATCGAGACCGTCAAGGACAATATCGTGTAAATGTGCAAGGCGGGCGATGTTATGGAAGCGTTGATGTTCATTTACTGGAGCGTTCCATGTTGATAGAGCCGACTATTGTCGGAGTAATAATCTAGATACCCCTTTACTTGTTAGATAAATGCATATTCAATCCAGCCTAGAACCCCGAGTAAATACTAACCCATCAACCATGGACCAGAGACCAAACCAAACCCATTATGGAACCCCGATGTCTAACTTTGTACACTATAAATGTGGACCCATATCAGATCAGCTGGGGGCCTGCCGCAAGTTAACTGATGCGGCGCATCTCGATCGTCGAATGGCTCCGCAGTACTGAGTCAGTCCCAGCGCAGTGCCGCCCGACTTTTGCCCAACTTGATCTCCGACAAGGTCCACCTAGCTTCTTATTCATTTGATTGGAGTCATATGCGCGGCACAGTCAGTTAAAATGACGCCGCAGTGGCACTGGCCTTTCTGCATGAGGCTTACGATATGAGGCTCTTGCTGTGGGCCCAGGCCCGCCTTGTTGATGCTGCCTATTGTTTCCGCTATGCAACATGCGCGCGGACCTACAAGGCTACCGGCATATAAAGGCCTAAGAAATGTATATAATAAGCGATGAAGACGGCTGCTCATCTTCCTCTTCATTGACTTCTGACCGTCATCGTCATCGCGTCCACGGCTATGCCGAACATGGCGTCGTATTTGGACCACAATATCAGCAATAATAGCAGAAATGCTACCACCATCGACACGGCTGTCCTGGACGCCTTTATACCGGGCTATTCTGTCCTCTCTCGGTTTCTGGTATCATACCTCCAGATCGATCTATCGTACTACCTGCCCTTCCTTGTGATGGCGGCTGCAGCGACCGCTTCCCTGCGCTACAGCATTAAGAGAATTATTCGTCTGCTGGGGGAACACTTCACCTCGACGGCGGAGATCCGTCTCGACGACGAAATTTATAACTATCTTATGTTCTGGATGGCGCAGCAGCCGTTCACGAAGCGGACGACGCATTTCGTTGCGGGGACGAAGATAAGCAGTGGGATGCGGTACTGGGATTCGGATAACGGCGAGGGTTCAGACGACGAGGACATGTGCGAGGACGACGATGACACCGGTAACGACAACAGCGACATGCTGGCCAACTTTGATCGGTACTGGCAAAAGGTCATCAGCAAGGACAAGTACCGCACGCTGCGGTTCACGCCCGCCGAAGGCACACATTACTTCTGGTACAAGGCGCGCCCGCTGGCGTTCATCCGGGAGCGGGAGGAGAACAACGGCGGCGTGAGTCTGCGGTGGGTGCCGGAGCGGCTGTACCTGTCGTGTCTGGGACGGGACCCGAGCATCCTCAAGGAGCTGCTGGCCGATGCGCAGCGGGCGTATGTGGCGCGCGATGGCAACCGGACGATCATCTACCGCGGGCAGAAGAGCGGGGTGGACGACTTCGACTGGGTGCGGTGTATGGCGCGGCCACCGCGGCCGCTGTCGACGGTTGTGCTGGACGAGGCGCAGAAGCAGGCGTTTATCGATGATATCAAGGAGTATCTGCATCCGAGGACAAGGCGGTGGTATTCGAATCGCGGCATCCCGTACCGCCGGGGTACCTGCTGCACGGCCCGCCGGGCACGGGCAAGACGAGTCTGTGTTTTGCGGCGAGTGGGCTGCTGGGCTTGACACTGTACCTGCTCAGTCTGAACTCGAAGAGCCTGGATGAGGACAGTCTGATGTCGCTGTTTTCGGCGCTGCCGCGGCGGTGTATTGTGCTGCTTGAGGACGTTGACAGCGCCGGGATTACGCAGAAGCGCGCGAAAGACGATTCCGCGGCGTCGGCCGTCCTCGTGGAAAAGGATAAGTCCAGCGCCGAGGAGAAGGAGCCCGAAACAAAGACGAACAAGGGGGTTTCGCTCTCGGGCCTGCTCAATGTCATCGACGGAGTCGCCGCCAGCGAGGGCCGGATCCTCATCATGACCACCAACCATGCGGAGAAGCTGGATCCGGCTCTTCTCCGACCAGGACGCGTCGATATGACTATTGCTTTCGGATACGCTGATCGCAATGCCATGCGTGAGCTCTTCTCGGCCATCTACAGCATGCTCGAGGGTGATGCGCGGACATCCCAGATGAAGTCAGTTAGAAAGGCTTCTGGACAACGGGAGAAGAAACATGCCAAAGCTACAGCCACCCAGTGGAAACGGCAGCGCTTGTCAAAAGAAAAGATCGCTGAACTGGCATCTGAGTTTGCATCACGCATTCCAGAGGGTGAGTTCACCGCTGCGGAGATCCAGGGTCATCTACTCAACTATAAGAATGAGCCGGAGGCTGCTATCAACGCGGTCGAGGAGTGGGTGAGAAGTGTTCGAGCCAAACGGAAGGAAAAGGAACAGTCTAAATGATATAGACCAGTGATACCCACCACATTATGTGCCATGAAATGATACGTTAAACAGATTGAAGCATCATCATGCAATCTGTGAAAGTCCACCCAACTGACACACACTTGCTAAAATCAAGAAAGTTGGCTAGTCAAATGCACTCCAAGAATGAGATCCTAAGATTCATATCAAGGAGATCATCATATAAAGGTGTTAGAAAATATGTAATAGACTAATAATATGTATGTATAGCCACAGCGGCAGAAATATTGCAAGAAGAGTATCAACAAGCCGCCTCCCAACCCAATCAGTCAATCATAGAAGTGTAACCTGATCGCCATTGATGGCAAGGTTCGCAGCATATGTACACCGCTTGTTGGGCTCACAGAATCCATGGAAGAGCATCCTGTCACCACATCCACAGACGGTACCTCCGCCAGGTGAAGTCAATCCATAGTCGCCGGTCTTGAATAGCTTCTGACCATTCTTGACATAGGGGCCCGTGATCGATTTCGAGGTGGCCCATCGCACATCGTACTTGGGGTCCGTAAAACAGTGGGTAGAATAGAAAAGAAAGTACGTGTCACCGTGCAGTATCAGATTGGGGGCTTCAACCAAAGGTCCGTCGGTATCGTCACGGTCAAGTATCGGAACGGCGTCGCCAAGTGGCGTGAAGCCGTCGTCTGCCACTCTCTGCAGAAGAATCGGCGTAGATACCAGAGGAGGAACGCCGTTGTTGCAGTCTCCACCATGACCGATGCTATTGCCGTCTACCTTGAAGACAACGTAGCGGCTACCATCTTTGTCGAGGAAGCCCGCCGGGTCGATCGAGCCTCCCTGATCCAGCCGGCATGATAAGGGCGTCTCGTTCGGCACATATGGTCCTCTGGGGTCTTTCTCTTTAGAGACAGCGACACCCACGCAATGATGCCTCACCATCTCTTTAGCCTCGCCTGAATAGTACATAACATAGTAGCCATCGTTCTGGAAGTAAATTAGTGGCTGCTGAGTAGATTTATACTAGAGAACATACCCTTCTGATAACGTCTGGAGCCCAGTGATCTATTTCAGTCTCCCACCCGGCAAGCGTTGGCAGTGCCTCGATGTCGAGAAGAGTCCATGTGTTGAAATCTTGGGATCTAGCCACTTGGACGCGCTTGCCATTGCCGTTTGTGCTAAAGGCATACCATGCCCCTTCTGCATCCTGTACAAAACTAGGGTCCGGGAAGTCTGAATTGATTGCCATCCACGGCCCTCTAGCTCGCTTCTCAACGGGGGAAGCGAAGACAGCTGTCATGGTAAGGCCAAAGGCCCAGAATGTTGATCGAGGAACCCACATGCTTGCAGAATGGATGGACAAAAACAGAGAGGGAGATCGCCGAGTTTAATTCTGTATCAGCGAACCTCAGGCTCACAATCTGACGATCTCTCTTGGGATCAACGCAAGAAAGAATTCTACATTACGTCTGTAGAGCTCGGGATGCGTCATTGCTTTATATTCAAATGTCGTCGGCATTGCCGAGAAAGGGAGGACCGGCATTCCCAGACTGAATTGTCCTTCGACAACTATCACAATTCAATTTTCCTTCGACGAAATCAGCAGTCATGCGATATTATCCTGCGACAAGTATGCGGCAAGTGGATTCGAGCAGTGAGATAGCAGCTGGGTCTGCTGGCCTGGACATTGGGCGCACTATGCAGCATATTAGGCAAGGATCGCTGTAGAAACAACATTTGGTATCATCGGACATTTACTGGGTCACCAACATAAACAACAATAGTCAGCAATATTGAGCCATGTTTGGGCCATCGTTTGGCTGAGGTGGCGCATATTTGTCGTTCTGAGCAATGGCCGAGAGACTAAGGCCCATACGACTGTAACACTCGGTCACTGAGTCCTCGTGCATCTTAGAGAGCCAAGGAATTTCAATAAGCCTGTAATCTGTATGGTGGAGCAAGCAGCCGTGATGACCCAGAAAAGCGAATGCAACAACCTGCAAATCCACTATCATCTGAAGACCCAAGTATATCTGAAAACGGCAATCGAAGCATGAGTTGTGGAGAAATCCCGATGCCGAGCTGCCGATCATTTTGTGGGGACTGGCATCTATCAAATCCTGACGAGTCAGTAGCAGGAATATGATCCTTCATCATGGCACACGGATAATATGCTCCGACACCGTGACCTGTGAATGGTGCATTGAGAACGCATTACTCGCTCAGGGGAGCGACGCAAGGGCGACGCAGACCGCCCAAACCCGAGAAATGTGGCTCGCTCGGGCTATATTGGTGATGAGGATCGAGGCCAGCCTCTATGGTGGACCTGGTGAAAAAAATGGTGAGCGAATAGTTACTGCAAGGAGTAACATGCGAGAGGCTCCCATATTAGTTCGGCTGGACGCACCACTTACAATAGGGTCGTTCCAAAGAACTTTTCCATGCTTCTGTATTTTTTTCCCTCGAGTACTAGTGCGCTGTGGACACCAGACCCTTGCTTGTCTCCTGCCGGTCGGTATGATTCAAGCCAATCACAATAATCGAGACGTCCAAATGCCATGCATGATCTGGTGTCAGACGTTTTCGGGAAGTCAGATAAGTTGAACAAATAAACAGTGCTGTGTTTGTCCAATGTGAACACAAAAGGACAACGAAATCCACGTACCATATGACTTTGCGACTTCCAGAAGTCCAGCCGGCGAGTTTGTTCTCTACTGGAGAAGCAGAACAGTAAGGTCTTGCCCGATTCCAAGTCGACGAATGGCACCAGGCTCAGAAGAAGTGCCGTCCATCAGAATCGCAACACATGGCCAAGCGCGCAAGGGATCCCTGCGTATGTAAGGTGTGCATGTTGATCATCAACTTATTCCGGGTCATTTTTGGTATCACACAGACTATTATGCTTTCCCGAAGGCCTTAGCCTCCAGAAATCGCGCAAAATAAAGGGAATTCATCAGAAGCTATGCCCGATGCTGAGAAATTTCCCACCGACTTCTCCGCGGTGAGCCCAACGGTACTTCATGACAGTCGGCTATGGTGTGAATGCTTGCTGGCCATATTCGCTAAGAACTTGTTTTGTTGCCCTTAATGGGCACCATTAAGCTGTGTTGGCAGCTTGGCAGGAAGTCATGAGTCTTGGAATGCACTTTCATCAGAAGACCTCTACCCCGCAAGTTGATGATCTGCAACTAGGAGCTGGGACGTTAACGCCTAAATCTTGGATGCGGGCCACCAGATCAGCTAGTACGCCTCGAGTGCCGCCGCATGATAGCATGGATGTGCTTTTTTGCTGGACTCACTGCCTTCAACCACTGACTGGATAGGATACCATGGAGAAGACAGTCATGCGAGACACCTCTTTGAGTAAACTCCAGAGTCTCACTGTTTAAGGTTAGGTGAATCAATCTTAATCGTGGAGAGAAACCGACGTGATCCTAATACCAGGTCACTGGATCATTTAGCTGCTCGCACCAACTTAACAAGCCACTCTAGATAAAGTGGAGGAGCAAACCAACATCAACCAGGGATATTCTATGACCTCACTCGTGCATAACATGCCGTTGATCAGATAACTTCCATGGGCTTTCAAGTGACCTGACCAGGCTGGAAGCGGATACAATCGGATGCAGTCTTTCTCAAGATTGACAAAGAGTCAAGCCAATCAGTCTTTTTGGCTGGTTGATTCAATAAAGGCCCTTGAAGCGCCTTGGAGAGGTAGTTACGTGATGATGTCAGAGTACACGGAGGTGTGGTGAAAGAGATGAAAAAGCAAGGTAAAGAAGAGAGTAGATGTCGTGTGCCAGGTGATGTCCTCAGGTCTACCGATTAGGTAACCAGACTTACCGTGAATTCTGGCGTAGAAACAAGGAGGAGAGAAACAGACGACTGCATCCTCCTGTGATAGACGGACATTCATAGTTCAAGGTTCGTTATAATTTCCAAAGAGACATATACACATAAGCAAGCCAGTAAAGCATAAGAGAGCAAACCCCCATAACTCCAGATATATGCGCAGAGATATAACATTATCATGCCGATTTTCATTTCACACGAGAGCCGGTGAGAAGCCATGATTCAAAGGGGACCCCTCGCGCCTGCTTCTTCCCATTCTGCTGGGAATTGTACAGCACAGGCTCAAAGTCACAGAAGGCAGCGTACTGCCTAATCAAGTATCTCCAATAGCAAGACTCTGCCGCCGGAGTCAAGTATCGATCACGAAACGTTCTCACCGCGTTATCGGCGATCCGTTCCGCAATCTCGGGATTATCAACGAGGAAACTGATCTTCCGATCGAGGTCTGAGAAATCCCGCTCTACCTCCACGTAATTCGCATCAGGACCGGACGCAATCAGCGCCGCATGGTGCGCCTCTCGCCAGACCAGCTTGTGCGAGACGACCACCGAGTGGCAGTTGAGCAGGTACTTCCCGCGACCGGAGAAGCTGCGCCCTTCCGTATGCGCCAGAAACATATACCGGCAGTGCTCCTCCATCGGCAGCAGGTTGTACCGAACGTCATTTTCGTTGTCCCAGTCGATAACCCGGATACTAGCCCAACTTCTTCCCTGCGCTGCTTTCAGCAATTTACCCCTGAGCTCGGGATTGGTCGCCACGCTGCCGCGCCACACGAGCTGTTTCTTCTTATCTTTGAATTTCATTCCGGGGACCAGGGAGCCGTCGGGGTGCACTTCGCCCTCGTCCACAGCGGCAATGCGCCTCCGGATATCCTTGTACGGGCCAACCTTGACCTCCGGCCACGCCCAGTACCCAAAGTCCGGCATGAGCCAGATACTCTCGTCCTCGTCGCGCTTGGAATACGACCAAACAGGTCCTGGAACATTGCTGAAATCATCTGCCGTGAATACAAACTCGATATTGGGCAGGCTGTGTCGGTCCGGAAACGACTGCAGGGCGCGATGCAGGGAGTTCAGTGTTGCCTTTGCTCGGGAGTACGTATACGGCTGTGCCGCGTAGTCGATGATATACAACTAAGCCACACATGTTAACAAAGATGCGTTCACGGACGAGTAGACACGCTGTAAAGAGGAACGACTTACCTCTCCCCTCCAAATCGCGGCCCGCACCATCCCATCCTCAACCACAACATCATCCACCTCCTTAAACGTAATCGGTCTCTCCTTCCTCAGCGCTGCAGTCTTCTCAATCTCGACAAAGAGCTTCGGAAACGCTATCCGACACTGCTCGTCCGAAAGACCGTGGTTATCCCCATCGCGC